TTTTTTTCAATTTTTTTTGTACGTATGAGGTTATCGTATATTTTTTTTAATTCGAAATTAAAATATAATGTACGAATAAATCTTCTTAGGTTTAGAAAAACAAATGGACGGCATTCTTTTTTTTTCGGGGAATGTGCAAACAAGTACCGAGAGGAGGCAATCGTATGGATGCCTAGATGAAATTCATTTGTATTAGAAGGATTTTGTCAAAATGGTAAGAATTATGATAAAAGAAGAATCTTGCCAGAAAGTAAAAATCTGCTTTTTCAGGCAAGAATCTTGTACAGAAGGAATGACAAAAGAATCTTGTCTGATGTTCAAGAATAACAAGAATCTGGACAGATCGAAGGATCGTCGACTAGTGTTGAATGAGTAGTCATTTAACAATACAATACTCACTCAATAGATTCTTATGAGAAGGTGGGTATTTATTAAAAACTCTAATACTATTACAGAAAAAAATAATTTCGTGGTTTTCTTTCTTTTTATGTATACTGTGCATTTTTCATTTCTTCTCTACCTATCGTAATATACACAGCCAGAGAGAAAGGAAAGAACAGAAAAGAGAAAGATTTATCTATACATACACGGTGCTCATCTAATTTCGTTGTTTACTTGAATTTTTTTTCTAGAAAGGAAGATAGAGATCTCAGAAAACTATCTTGATGAGTTATCAAGTCTGACAAGCTTTTATAATAGTCTATAATGTTTTCTTATTCTATGAAATTTCTGAAGGCCTCTTATATGGACGATATTCTGTATTTCACCGTATGCAGACTCCGTTAAGCTCGACCTGAGTAGTAATGGTTCGGACGAATTCACTACTGTATTCACTGAAAATCGATAGGATTATGCTTACATTGCACTGTATTCTGATTTTTTAAAATAATCGCTTTAATTCGTTGTCACTTTAGTTAATCACCCTATCTTTTTTTGTCAATTTTAGCATTCTAATGAAAAGATGTTTTAAAATCAAAAAAGGAGAATTTTTCGTCTCATCCTATCTCATTCGAAGTTATGATCTGTAAGTCTTTTGTTGTCAACGTTAATTTGATTTAACTGATTCCAAACTTTTCATGGGTTTCTCAAATAATCTAATAGGGCTTTATGAACAAACACTTAATTGGATTTCGAGAGAAATCGTTGATAATATATTAAAAAGATAGCAGTATAGTTATTGAATATATGCAGCTACAAATGAATCTTTCAAAATATTAAATAGAAAAGATATTTATACTAAAGAGGTAACAACATTTGAATTATGACTTTCATGGTTGTAAAACAAACAATGTAACTGAGGCATTAATAAAACAAAAGAGTCGTTTATTATATGGTCTACAACGACATCTTGTTATAAATGGTACAAGTAAAGAGGTGGTTGCTCTGTTGATTAAGAGGCAAAATTGATGTGGATGAAATTGTTTTCATTTCATTGTTTGATCACTTTTCTTCAACAAGTTTACATCGATAATGGATATTCAACATGTTTACACAAAGAAACGATCAGAATTTGGTCGTCAAGTAATTTTTACAGATCGAGCTGTTGAATCAATTGCTGATATTCCACCCAATCCCGATCTATCTCGCGAATATATTTCACGTAATCCCGTTGAACTTGCTATACAAAATGTCCGGGAATTTTCTGAACATTGGGTACGGTTTTCGAAACTCAATTTCCTTTCGTTTTCTTTTTAATACGAGAAAGTCTTTTGATAACTATAGGTAAATACAGTTCGATTTGAAACAGAAAATCGAGGTATAAATCATGTTGAAGGTGGTTGGCCAAAAGATATAAATCCACTTGAACCTGATCAAACATCACGTTTTCGAAAGAAAACAGAAAAAGAAGATGGTTTCACTCGATCCATGTTATCACTTGGAAATGTAGATATTTACTAATGTTTGTTTCGTTAATTGATACTATATAAATATGTTAATTTAGTTAGTTGAACATACAATCAAGCAAAACAATATTGTTGACATTTATGAAAATTACTTTCAAAATTTAGAGCCCGATGTTGTTGAAGAAGCACCATATGCGAAAACTGTTAACATCTATCGGTACAAGTCTAGTTGAATTTGTTTTTTTTAGTGAAATTTCGAATATTTAGTGATCCACATAAAACTCGACGTGCTGCAAATCATATTTCATGGTATGCTGATGGAGCAAGAAAATTAGCTGTTTCTTATTGTAATCTTGAATTTCAATCCGGTACCAATGATTCATTTATCGACTCATACATCTGGGATACGGGTAACTACAAAAATAAAAAGCTTCGAATTAACATATTTATTCATTCAATAAATTAAAATAGAAAATCCAACAAAACCTGATCTTCATCTAAAACCAATATCTCCACTTGTTTGCATTGAGTTTAACCCAAAAGATACACATCAACTAGTTGGTGGTTGTTATAATGGTCAAGTTTGTAAGTTGACAATTCTTGTTTGATTCGATTGACTACATTTTATGTATAGGTATATTCGACACACGAAAGGGTAGTACAGCTGTCGAACAATCACTTATTGAAAATAGTCATCGTGATCCAGCTTATAAAACAGTATGGTTACAATCAAAATCAGGCACAGAATTTTTTTCAGCATCAACTGATGGCAAAGTAAACTAAAGAGTTTGTTTTTTCTATGATATTGTGAAAGCTGATTGTTAAACTTTTAGATTCTTTGGTGGGATACAAAAAAATTATCTGAACCGGTCGAAACATTAATATTAGATATTGAAAAAAAGGGTCGACTAGAAAATGCTCTTGGTGCTATGTCATTAGAATATGAATCAACTATTGTAAGTTGAAATTTTCTTGGCATTGCAATCGAATAACTTTGATATTCTCTAGCCAACTAAATTCATGGTTGGTACAGAACAGGGTCGTATCATATCATGTAATCGTAAGGGAAAAAATGATGCCGAAAAAATTGGCAATGTTTTTCCAGGACATTGGGGTCCAGTTTATGCACTTCAACGTCATCCTAACTTTTTAAAAAATTTTTTATCTGTTGGCGACTGGACTGTACGTATTTGGTCAGAAGAAATGAGAGACGATTGCATTATGTGGACAAAGTAATTTCATCGTATATTAATTGAATTTAAAAATAAATACAAATTATTTTCCCGTCTTTTAGACCAAGCGTCCATGCACTTACCGATGGTCAATGGTCACCAACAAGATCATCTATATTTTTTACAACTAAAATGGATGGTAAAACAATTTCGATTTTATCAATGCAAAAAGAAATATAAGTTTATCTTGAAATTTTACATAGGTACATTGGATGTTTGGGATATATTATTTAAACAAAATGAACCCACTTTATCAATTCAAGTGGTGGATGAACCACTACATTGTTTACGTGTAGAAGAGCCTCATGGTCGTCTTGTCGCTTGTGGTTCACAGAATGGTACAGTCACATTAGTTGAACTATCAGATAACTTGTGTGTACAAGGAAAGAGTGAAAAAGCTTTAGTCAATGGAGTAAGTACTTAACAATATCAAAAATACCTTAGTTTTTTTCTAATGAATACATTAGATGTTTGATCGTGAAACACGACGTGCAAAAATTCTTGAAGCTCGAGGTCGAGCAAGACGAGATGCTCGAGGAAAATCAGCACACGGCGAGGTGACATATTTTAATTAGATTTTTTTGTATTTCTATATGTTATTTTTATGTGTTCAAGAAAACTGAAAAAGCAACGACAGATGGGGCAACTTTAGAATCAGAATTGAAAGAAGCTGATCCAATTGAAAAAGCTGAAAAAGATTTCTGGAAAATCGTTGACGAAGAAAAAAGAAAAAGAGACCGAAAAGCTGCTTTGGTTAGTTTTCTACGACAGCAAATTTCTTTCTATCTACTAGAAATCTTTCATTTTTATAGGCTGGCGAAAAAGCAGCAGCTGAAGCTGGAGAAACAACTCAAGCTGAAGAGGCAGCCCCTGCAACAGCAGAAACAACTGAATAATCTATGTTTTTTTCTATTTTTCTTTTTGTTTGTTTCGAAATATTTTACACGTTCTGGGTGTGTCTAGCACAAATTATTTGACTAATGCTCAATGAAGAAAAAGTCATAACAAAATTGTTAAAAAAAACGATCTGATTGTAACTTTTCTGTTGTGAATGAAAGAAAGGACCTATTTGAACGAGCGAGTTCCAACATTCTTCGAAATGCCCTTTATTAAATAAACGAAAAATTTCTTTTAGACATAACATATGAAAGTTAAATCTTTTTAAATTAATAACTTAGCGTTTGAATTCGAAACCTAAAACACAATATATATCCTAGACCAATATACAACGAATTGCGTTCATTTACGAATGTACTCATTTCCATCCAAAATATCGAATGAGACTTAAACTTAATACCCGTTTCGTGAAAAACATTAATGCACAGTTATGATGACAATAGTTTTATTTTCTAGGCAGCATTTTCCTTAGATATTTACCATACTAGCTATCGTTTGGAAATCTTTCTTTTTCTCGGCATATCATCATTTTTGTTCCAACAGCTCTATGTTTTATTTAGAAACAAAATTAATCGATGATCAACAATCAGAGAAAAGAAAATTTGTGAACAACTAAAATATAAAATGCACAATCAACGAGAAAAAAAAGTTAGAATAATGAATTTTTTAACCATTATGATAACAGAGATGAAAAATCAATACAATTTTATAACAGAAGAAAAAGAAAATAAATTTCAAGCATGCTTTCTATTTTTTTCCTAAAAGCGATCTATGGAGAATAAGAAACAATCCAGAGAGATTGCAATGCTTGACTAGAGAATCTCATTGAATTTATAAATCATTTAAAAAGTAAAACATACGGAATGTTACCCATAGCACGAAATAAACATATTTCAAATGCAGTAATATATTAAGAGAGTGAGTGAGCGAGTGAGAGAGAGAGAGAGCATAAATAGCAAACAAATGAGTAATTAACAGCTGCATAAAAACATAAACAAACTCATGCTAGTATTATTTTAAACCAAAATTATGTTAACAATGGTTGATCGAAATACCATCGTTGATTTGCATTATCGCCTGTTTCACAAGAAGCTAAAATATCACGTTGTGTTGTAGAAAAAAACTTTTTTTTCTTGCTAGTCTAACTTACCAAGTATTAATTGGCCAGAAGTTTTTGTTTTATCAGCAGTCATACATTGCCCTGATGTAACATGTTTCATATTTCGCGTCTAGAACAGCAAGATTAAGCTATTGAATAGAACTAAATTGAATATACCTGATTATTATAGTTCCACATTTGTTTCTGATTTCCTAGTGAACATTTTTGCAATTTAATAGCAATATTGGCACTACCTTCCATACAAAGATCATCAACACGAAGTTCACCTTTTTTAGAATAAGCCAAAATCTATGTGATATAAAAAAAACAAATTTTCCTATACAAATAAAATATATGATAATTGAGAGAATATAATTTTCTATACACAAATATAACTAGAATCAATCGATTGAGCGGGAAAAAAATAATGCAGCAAAACTGCCAATTAAATAAGTGTTCATTATTGCATTGAAAGATAAAATGTACTTTAAACAAATGAATTGCGATTGTTAGAGCCCGACTGAACACAAGAACTGATGTTGGCTAAATTTAGCAGTTAATTCCATGGACTCTATTCATCAAATTGACCAGTTCTCAAATCAATGAGATTCTCCAATCTTAATTGTGTTCGAAAGAAATACACTATGAATTTGTTTTTTTTGTGCATGCAAATGGCTTTCTAGTATATCTATCAGTATCCTATTCGTTCCTAATCAATGCATTTGTCGAACAATAGAAAACCAAAAATTATCATGATCATGCAATAGTGAACTGGTTTTTTTTAACATGCTTCATTTTCCGAACCTGGGTAACGGCAGCTACGGGTGAATGCGTTCGATCGATACATTTTTGTATGTTAAATGTAGCCGTACGATTCGTCCCGTGACTACCGTAGACATGATGAAAAGTTAAACAAGACATTGAATCCATACGCATCTGAAATAAGACAAACAAAAACTTAATGTACACACCTGGTTTACACCTTGATTTTGACAAGGCAAAATGCCTGCATCTTGATTAGCTCCATTATCATTGTTAAAACCCAATGAATCAACACAACCGTGTACTTCATTTTTTAACTAATCATCCGAAAGGTAGAGGTATAGTAAGTGTGAAATAGGTCAATATGATGTTTAAAAACACTGAAAATATTAAAAGGAAAATAAAATCAAACTCACTGCTCCAACATGATGAAAATCAACAGGCATTGAACTTTCAGGATATATATTTTGTAAATACCATTGAAAATCTTTACATTTAAGGCGTTCTCGAAAAGCAAGACGTTCTGACACATCGCCAGCATCGACACGTTTCAGTTCTATATAAACAAAAATCGATCAAATATATTTTTATTTTTACTCAATAACCACAAACCAGGCATAATGGCATACACAAAATCTTTATATTTATCAAGCCATACTTCAACAAGCCGCTTATTATTATGATAGATGACATTGCCAGTACCACCCGGAAACGTATATGGTGTTTGTTTACGAAATACGTGACCAACATGACTACCTTTAAGAATCATCGGATTAAAAAAAAGATAGTGTTGAATTTCAATATATCTTACATGGATGAATAAGAACTTTTCCACCGCATTGCCAAACACGAAATGACATTTCTAAATTTTCACCGCCCCACACTTCCATGCCTGGATCATAAGCACCAATTTCGTAAAAGTATTCACGGTTTATTGTAAATAAACCACCAGCCATTGTCGGCGATCTGTTTCATTTAGCAAAAACAAAAGTTAGAATTAATGGAAGACAAGCTATAGAATATGTCAATCATACAATAATGGTAAAGAATGATCACCATTTCGTCGTACTTCTTCTCGTTGTGGTACTGGATACCAACGAAAGTTTAATCTCCAATTAAATCCACCCTAACAAATAGAAAAAAAAATATTCATATGAAATCATTCATTTTTATCTCAACATACCCAAGTCATATCACTACCAGTTAAATAAGCAAAATCATCATCATTGATTACATCAATTATTGGACATACAACAGCTGTTCTAAAATTCAAATCATTTTCTAATTTAATAGATGCTCTTTTGTTGTACTATTTTGTCTGTTACTCATAAATTCATTGTATTCCTCTATAATTTCACAGTCAAAATGTTAACTTCTAGGACTTCAAACTTGTTGTCCAAGGCAAACATTTCATCAGTGAACTTTCACCACAATCGTCCTTGTTTGTAAGTAGAAAACCGCATAAGATTCGATATATTGAAATTCGAGTACTTTTATTGAGTTCAATAAACTCTTGCACATTATTCTCAAGTTTGACTGCAAGGCTTTCTTTATATTTCAGTTAATGTGAAACATATTGACAACGGTATCAACTCTAGAGAGAATGATATGAAAACACATGTCTATTTTGTTTTTACCGCTTCTCGGGTAACTATCTCTCAGTAATATTGCTTGATACATCAACTTAATTTCATTGCTTGCCATAATTTCTTCTTTAACTCTAAGATTTCTTCAAACTCAGCAAGTGCTCTTTTCTTTTATAAATGAAACTATTACATACCGATCTTTTTTAATTTCATACAATAAGTATTCAAGCCAACCAGCTGAACATTCAACATGAGCATCAAGAAATGTTAACGTTTCACCAGTAGCTATTTCAGCACCTATGAATTAAACAAAACAACTTTTTTTAAATAGCTTATCATATTTTACACATTTACCTCTTAGACGTGATTTCATTAATCCTAATCGATCCGCATTTCTTAATATTTGAACTCGTACAGGTAATGATTTACTAAATGTTTCTAATGGATCTTTAAGATATTCTATCAATAAAAGAAATAAGAGATGGAAAACCAATCATATATTGACATTAATATTACCTCGACTAATGCTAGCATCATCGACCATGATTATTTCATGTATATACTTTATTGGACTTCGTAAAATAATGCTGGTTAATGTTCGAAGTAATGTTGAATTACCTTCATTATGAAATACAATAATAATTGATGTTGATGGTAAATCAGATGGAAATTTATGTGCTAGACATCTATACATACAAGAAAATACATAATCAAGAATGCAAAAATTTTTTTTATACTTTGGTGATCGTTGATCTCGAACTGAACGATTGAGTGCCATCAAATCTGAAGCAAGAATATTAAATTGATTTTCTACAAAACGTTTTTTTGCTTCTTCTTTCAATTCATTGGGAATAACAACAGCACGACCAGCTTCACCTTGCCAATTCGTTGGATTCGTTGCACCTGTTATAGAAGCAAAAACAAGCACAATTCTTTTGTTTTTAATCGAAATACCATTAAAACAAACCTGAATCACCTTCCCACCATTTCGGAGCAATGCTTTTCTTCGCTGTTTCAGTGATGTTTTGATTATTTAATAGCATCTTCTTTCTATAGCTTATTTTATCGATAATTATCTTTGGGTGCAATTGAACATTACGTTCACTAATGGTAGAATATTTATCAGTCGATACAGATGATGGACAAGGTACAATAATTTCTTTTGTACAATCAGAAAATAACATTATAAAAAAAACATCAATAAATATCCAAAATAATGATGTATAAATGACTATATGAAGATATTGACGTTTCCATAGACGAAAACGTTTCAGTAAGATTTCACTTGATGGTGAATGATTAGATGACGGTGAATGCATTTTTACTAAACTCAAAGCAAACCGAAGAGTGATTTTTATGTTGTTGAGGTTTTTGTATTGCCTTAATAAAAATCTACAATAGAAAAAAAGAATTTTTTCTTGAACTGCACAGATCGAAAAAAAAATAGTAGGGAGTACTATGGAAAATTTGATCTCAGAAGAAAACTAGATTCTATAGATCTGTCAATAAAAAAGAATTAGAAGTCTTATTTGCATATAAAACGTAAAAGAAAATAGCGAAGACTCAATTAGATTATTTTCAATAACTTAGTAAGAACAATTCAAAAGGTCTATTCTTTTCAAATACAGCTGAGTTACATAGACTTTTGGTTAAATTCTATGACAATCACACGTGAATGTTCAATATCAGAATTTAATAGGTATTAACTAAATTTTAATTAGATAAATATAGTTAAAATAATCATTAGTTTAGTAAACCGAGATAAAAACAAACGCGAACTGTAAACTTCGAGTTTACAAATTGAGGTCATTTTATCTTGCACTACACTGTATACAGCTATCTTATGATGTAAAAATGAGCGTATTGATGAACTAACATCTCTATATATTCAGAGGTAGCCTTTTTCATTTATATAGCTCCTCTTCTTACGAGGTGATAAACTCAAAACTTGTAAACAAAAACCAATAGCCAAGAAGGTTGCAAAAAAAAACAGAACAACCTATGCATTGCATGCCATTGGATATATATATGTTGAATTCTTATCATCAGATTCATTGATGATTCTATCACCTGAATTTCCTTTGAATACTGTCAGGTGATAAGATTCATTCACATGAAAAGAGTCAAAGATAAAAACTGAAAGATATCTACCTGTAATTGAAAAAATATTATTATTTTTCTAGAAATTCTAAGTTTTTCAGATGTGCTCTATCCTTAAATTTCAGTTATATTGAGTATAACATAAATTTTTCCTTTTTTGCTTGTCTTTTAAAAATTCTTATCATGATTAGAAATAACAAAAAGGCGAGCAGCTATTTCGTTAACAATAAATACTATGATATTACTTGCTACTCACATTTAGACTCTTAAAAGATTTTACTGTAAACGATATTCTTTCTATAGAGCAATGCTTGACACGAGATTTTCAGAAATTGAAGATTCGAAATTTAAAAAAAGGCAATTAAATATAAGACAAGATGGAGAAAATTGCTTTTCTTTTGTATTTATCAGACATAATAAAGAACTGTTTACAAAAAATGTTCTGTTCCATAGATTAAATCAAAGTTTTGTTGTTCTTGTTTCTGATCTAAGAACTTGAACAATTTGTGCAAGTGCATCAGGATGAACACCAGCTTCAAGCAATCTAACACATGCAGTTAACGTTTTCTTATCTAGACCCGTATTGAGTAATTGAGATAACTCATGAAGACAATCAAGAGCTTCACGTGCTTCATTTGTTGTTGATTCACTCATGGTTGATGCTGATTTAACGATAGGCATCTTTTTATCTGAAAAACAAAACCAACAAATCAACGTTTTCTTTGTTAAGAAGCAATAAAGAATAAATATATTTGTGATTTTTCACATTAATACAACTAATAATTCCACTGTTGCACGACAAAAACAAAAAAAATATATTAAAATCTGACAGTATCCACAAATATTAAAAACAAACACCGATCTATTTTATTGTTCGTTTCGACAATCTTTCTATTTCTTTACTTAATGTGTCAACATTTTCTTTTAATGTTATATTTTTTAAAAGTGTATCTTCTAAAACTGATTGTAATTTTCCCATTACATCTAATGCTGTTTCAAGTGTCATTGGTGACGACTGTTCAAAAAGTTTATTTGTTGTATGATTAACAGTTGTTGTCGCACGATTATATAATGTTGCCATTAATGAGGAAGAATTATTTCGATTTTTATTTGCTAATTGTTGTTTAATTGAATCGGATTCAGTTGACGTGTACATAAAACTATCTTCATTCATTGCGTATGTTTGAATTATTTTACGTTTATTTTGTAAATCTTGCGTTAATAATTGTATATGATCATTTAAGAATTCAATTTTTTCATTACGCCTCACAAGCAATTTTTGTTGTTTCAATAATTTATCGATTAGTTTTTGACGATCAATATCAACAATATTAACGATAACTTCTTGTTCTTCATCGAGTAAAAGTTGTTGCTGTTGCTGTTGCTGGTGTTGATGAGCTGGTGTATGACGCGGAATGTGATCAGATCCTGGTACAGCCAACGAAGTTATTTCATTCAATGAACTGAATGAACCTGTTGGAGATCCATGACTTGAAGAATTATCATTGGAATTCTCTTTATTTGCAATAGGTTTTGTTGGACTAAATTAGAAAAATAAGAGTAAGTATTGTTATTTACAATCACAGCCGCAAATAGAAAGAACACCAGTGAAACACTGTACTGTATTGAAAGCTTTCGAATTACGTCGTCTACCTTCAGAGTTGATTTATATTTCTGTCAAAAACAATTTTCTTTATCGAGAGCTTAATCATAAAAATTGCTTAGAAATCTATTGAATGAACTTGTATTTGTTTTCGTGGTTTCGTTCTGTTGTATTAGCTACTGTTATTTTTTTGCTTTTTATCATATTATAGTTGCATTGAAACTTAACACCTGACTATTGAAACTAATCTATTTCAACGTGAAATAGAAATTTTGTTTTTCGAAAGATATTCTACCACTTCGTGTATAGATATATTAGACTTGGATTAGAATTTCAAAATAAACAACAATACTTGCCTGGTGAGTAGCATGGGACCATGTTCATTACTATTATTGGTGAACTTCGGCTTTTGTAATTGTTGTAATTGTTTAATTAAATCTTTTGTATTAGCTTGATGTTTCTTTTTTAATGTTTGAATTTCACTAAGACTATCATCATATTGTTTAGCACTCTGTTCATATAATTTGTTTACTGTTTGATATTTTTCATCTAATTCTTTTAGTTGATCTCTTAAGGATTTTTCAATATTTTCTAGCTTAGCTATTTGACTTTTTTGTTCTTCATTAATTTTTTGAATACATTCAAAATCTGTAGATGTTCCTTTATGTAATAATTGAAGTTGTTCATAGTCACTTTGTAAAATTGAATTTTTTTCGGTTAATTTTTGTGTTAATTCAAGTAATTGGTGTTCTTTTTCTAGTAATTGTCTCAGATCTGCATTATCAGCCAATGTTTGATTAGAAAGTGATTCAATTTGTTTTAATCGTGATATTTCAACAGAATCTTGTTCACGTGCAGCTAATAAATCGTCATACAATTTTTTTGTTGTTTCTTTTTCACGCATTGTAGTTTGACGAAAATTTTCAATTACATTTTCTAATGCTAAACGATCTTCATCGGATGATTTAAGCTTTTCACGAAGTAATTTATTTTCATCTTGAATGTTTGTTAGTTTTCCTTTAAGAGCATTGTGTTCATTACGTAATGTGTCAAGTGCTTGTGCTTGTTCATCATCAGTTGGTATAGCTCGAGCAGCTAAAACAAAATGAATCATTTTTTTATGTATACTAAACCACAGCCTTTGATATTATGAAGTCTATCATAAATCATAATTGTACTCATGTTATTATACACCACGGAGGTACTATTTCGTCAATACAATGTTCTTTTAGGACTAATACATTTATTTATGAAACTGCATGTAACTCAATATTTGAGAGTGAGCATGAAGGTTCCAATAGAAAATAGTTCTCAAGTGTAGTATGCAGATGCGAGAGGTAAATAACCAAGTCAACTAATTCCATTACCCTTGACGGTTCCGTTTTGACTTGTAACAAATACTTGACTTCTTAATTTAAATAGTTAGTGCTCACCTCAGAGTACATTTTTCATTCCTATTGACATAGCTCTCAATAGTAAAATTATAACATTGATGGTTCACAGAGCCTGCAGCGAAAACGAAAATTTTCTTTCGATCAAAGATAAATTCTTGAAAATGTTGTCCATATCTTTAGTTGAATAGACTATTTATATTACATAGATGAAGTATACCTGAATTGACATTCATCTCTTAACCAAAAGAAAAGAAAACAAGTACGAGAGCATTGCTATAGCACAACTATCAGGAATATTAATTTTTTTCTTTAGTTACCTTCTGTAAGTTGTTTGTATTGTAACTTTAATTGTTCATTGAGTTCATGTTGTTCATTCAAATCTCTTTTTAATCTTTCATTTGATTCTCGTTGTTCTTTCAAATGCGATGATTCTCCTTTTAAATGATTCAATGTTGATTTCAATGAAGCATCAATGGATTGATTTATTTCTTTTGTTTTTTCTAGTTCTTTTTTTAATGCTACTAATTCACTCAATTTATGTTCATAGGCATTTTGTAATTTAGTATTCATTAATTTAAATTCTGATAACTTTACTTGTAAATTGTCTTTTTCTTTTAATAAGTCATTATTTTTTGTGGCCAACGCTTCACATCGCTTATCCGAGTCTAGCTTTGCTTTTTCTGCTTGAGCATAACGCATAACAGTTGATTGTTTTTCACGTGAGTTTTCTTCTTTTTGACGATTTAATAGTGTTTCATAATGCTGCTGACATGCAGCTAGACGTGCGTTCAAATCAGATATTTCATTTGTTTGATTAGTAATTATAGATGAAAGACGAGCTATTTCTATTTTTTCAGGATTTTCAGGAACATCAATTGGAACGGGTTCTAAAGAATAGATTGATTTAAGCATTCAATAAATTCAAGTGAACTGGTATAAATAAAATTTAAATTTTCATATCGAACTCCTTTGTTAATTACGTTGTTTTTCGGTTTCAAAAATGAGGGTAAAATTGATCGCAAATAAAATGATTATTATAGATTACATTATAATATCGGTCGTGACAGAGTCAATTTAATGTTATTGATTTAACGTGATGAAATCTTTTTTCTGACGAATTTATTTATACAGAATGCTCTAGGAAAAATCATGTTGGCAACAATTCAAATAAAATATTGTTAGGTACCATCTTAACATTGTTCATAGTTTAGAAAGAGAATCTGTTCAAGTATTTCAGGTTTTTGTTCTATAGTGAAAACTTAATTTTACAAGTTATTTCGTCTTTTTCGTACTCAATTGAAATATATATATATATATATATATATATATCAAATGGTTGGTTATTATTGATACAATCTTATATAATATTCTAATGTTTATAGATGAAATCTTATTGGAACGTTAATAATATACAAAAAGCAATGTAAATATAAAATAAAACGATCGCAAATTGACTCGTTTTATATTATAAAAAATATGCATAGAAATCTCTGAAAATAATAGGATAAAATATATTTGAAATAAATAAAATCTTACCAGTCTTATCTAAATTTGAAGTATCATTTGTCGATTCATTCTCTGCTGAATTATCGGTTTTCACTTCGATTGACTGTTCTTCAGTAGCTATGTCGATCGGCGCCTCAACTGTATTCATTATTTCCAAGAATAAAATCAGATCAAACGAGATTCATCTAGAAAGTAATAATTTTCGTATTCTTTCAAATATAGATTAATGTGAATCGATTATTTTTCTTGGTTCAATGCGCAAAACCCAACAACAACAGCAACAAACAAAATAAAGGTAGAACAAAAAATATTCGCCATTAAATGCATATAAAATATAAGAGAGCGACAAAAGAAAATAGTTATTCATTATAAACAAAATAATATATATTGATTTAATGTTGTTCTTGTTTTTCTTCTTCTTAGGAAAGCTATATACACAAACAAAGCAAGAAAAAAATCTTCACGTATTATAATATAGCGACTAGAGTCAAGGAATGAAAATAGAAGTTAAAATAAAGTAAGACAAATCGAATTATTTTCCATATAATTGTGCAAGAAAATCTCCGAGACTAATAAATGTAGTCGGATCTGTTCGTTGTGTATGATTCCATATATAAATAGCTAAACCACTAATTGTTAGTGTCACACCCCACAAAACAATACGTGGTAATGCACCTTGATGTTCATTTCGATCATTGGTATACGCAGATTTTTCACCATCATTGTCATTTTCGAATGAATCTTTACCATATCTTCTTCGGAGAGATACTTCCATCGGTGAGTGATCAATGGACTCACTAGAAACAAGACAGTTTTATTTAAGAAAAATAAAGTTTTCTCAATTCAATATTTTACCATTTTTTAATCCATTCATCATTTAATACATCAAGTGTATCGGGATGATGATTTCGAAATAGATGGGATGATCTGTTTATAATTTCTTCCCATGTATTACTATCTAATTCACTGGGTAATCGTGTTAAATATTGATGTAATGAAGGCATATCACAGTCGATCGATAAAACTTGATCAGCATGATAATTGACAATCTAATTTTAAAAAAAGTAGATAAAAACCATTTTTATCTCTTTAAACATTAAAAGGGATTTAAAATTTACTTCAGCAGCTACATATATCGGCATAAGAAAATGGGAAACAATAAATAGGTCATAAAGTCGAAGAATTACGTCAAGATCATTTAATACATGTGAATACCATGTTATAAACCATGATAATGCAAACATTACATTTCCAACGCCACCTCTAAAATTACATGAAATACATTAGTAAATACGAATACAAATGATGAATCAGTTTATTTCAATAGAAAATTTAACTTTTCATGAAAAAAACATGGTTTAGTTTACCGTTGCATGTATTCAGCACATTTACTATTGGTGCAATTAATAAGTGGCATTAAATATGATAGTAAATCTCGTGTTTTTTCCATCGTTGGTTCCATAAAATCTCTATATATATATAAGTAATAAATTATTATTCTTAGTTAAATATCTAATTATAGAAATTCTGTTACTACAATTATATAAAATAGATACTAACATTATATTTTTAAAATCACACACAAATATTATACTTATTGATTTTCAAATCTGCTCCTAGAAGTGAAGTAAATGTTTTGTTGTTGAAATTCATATATTTCAAAGCTAACAGTTGAATTCAATTATTGAGCTTTGATACGATCTCACAGTAAGCGTATTATGAAAATACACCCAAATAAAAAACTGAAAATTTTCCTATAATTGAACTTTTTTTTCTACAGTTTTTAATTCTAATAAAAAGACTACGAAAAATTAAGATTACTCATCTACTTCCTATTCATTATAGTTTGTTTTTGCATGACTCATCATATAGTATATTTCTACTTCTGAAAACTATTTGTTTTTATGGTATAAATAATAATTAATTCATAGAATTTGTTAGTATAACTCTCTACCGTATTGAGCTGTAAGAAACTACATATTTACTTCTACAGTTATGAAATGTTCTCATTGTAATTGTTCAGCGTGAGAATTTTCTACTGTAAGCGGTTTCCACTAATAAAAATGAAGGTCTCCTTATTTAGTAAAAGATATTTTGATGACGTAAGTAAATTCAATACGAAATGACTATCTCTATTTTATTTACTAGCAACTGAATATTCGAAAACATAATTCTGTTAAATTACTTACTTGAAATGGGATTTCGTTACGGTATCAATAAATGGAAGACAAAGATCGGCACCGAGTACAAGTAAAAATGTCAAACAAATATCATGATAACCCTATGAAAAAGAAATATATAATGAAAATTTTCGTTCTATTCAACAATTTTTACTTGATAATAATTAAGATAATCATGTTTGATTAACATTTTTATAACAACAACAATAAGTTTCTCTTGTAGTTCAATTCTACCTGAATCCGAATAATCTTTAATAAACAAATAAAAGAAATCATTCAAATGTTTTTGTTCTAATTCGAAAAATTCATACTTGGTGGAAATCGTTTCAATGTTCTTTCAACATCCATTCTAACTTGTCCATAGTATCGATGTGATTCGATTTGCTCTTTATCTAATAAATTATCAAATTCTTGCCATTGAAAAATCAGAAAGGAAGAACAATACCTGCTGAATAATAATCAATTGGGCAAAAATATAATTTTTTATTATTATCATATTCAACTGTACAATAAGATGGTGAGTTAAGTATTAAAGGCCATATTTGTTTTCGATATAATTCATTAATTAATCCAGTTATTTTAGCACATTTTATTAATTTTCGTTTATTTCTTCTATTTAAAAATTTTTCAATTCTTTGAGGTTTTGTCTTGGAAATAATTAAAAAACTTTCATCATCACTTAACGATGAAGAACCATTTGTTGTTATCGATGATGAAATCACTTCAGAATGAGCATCTTGCATTAATGCTGAATCATTTTCCGAATCCGAATTAGTATTTGATTCATGCAATTCATTAAATGTTTGCATTCGAATTTTGTAAAGAAAAATAATCTATGATCTCAATGAACCAACTCTAGCACATATGTAACAACTGATGAGAAATGATGTGTGGGTTGTTGTTTTTTTTCATTCATTCATTCATTCCTTTGAAATGCTTCCTAGAGCCACCTATGAAGTAGCGAACAGAAGGGATGTAGCTCGATCTATAATCTTAGTATGGTATGCTTTATAACCAATTGAAATATTGATTGTTTCTTTTTGTTTTTTTTTTACGAGAGAAAGCGTTATTTTAGAAGGTATTTAGTTTTGATCTATGTTTTGAATGGCCTTCGATGATTTCTAAACACTATATTATCGCTGGTCTATGTTTTATTTTGGCTATTATTGGAATTGAAAGAACTATTTATTGGTTCCTTTTTGTTTCTACATTCATTTTTGGGTTTGTCGTTTGTTAGGTTTTGTTTTTGAAGATGAAAACAAATAGTTTTAATTTAGTTTTATTATCCATCTGATTGTTAACAAAAAAATATGGATCAAGTCAAATCCAATTTATGACAAAATCAAAACAGCTTTCATTCAATCAAAATTATTTATTCGTGTAAGAAATCTCTTTCTATTTGTATAGTTCTAACGATAGAATCTATTTATATTGTTCAATGTGATCAAGGAATTCGAGAAAAGAACTTCTCATTAAGAAAGAGTTCGGAAGGCAATACTTGAAATTATCATAAAAAGTAATTAAAACTGAGATTAAGTGTAAATATGAACCCTTTTGTTTTATCTTAACCTAATAAATATGCTACAAAATGATTTCAATTCTTTGAATACATAGTTAATGATAAGCTAAAGGTATATCAGTTATCTTTTTTCAAAAGAAATGTTTATTTTGCTGAATTCATACAAATTATATATAAAAACATATTGGTTTAGATTTAATGAATTCCAGTTGACATGTTTTTCAGTAGAAATTTTTGTACCGACAAATCTTAAATCTTTTTATCTTTATTTTGTTACACATTCTCTGGTCCTGACCTAGCGAATCCTATTTCAGAATTTATTCGTCTAAAACATTAGACAATTTTCAAGTACGCTTCTGTTGATTCATCCAGCAGGAAAGTATCACTTGTTTTGATTTGAGAAATGCTTTCCTTGAAAGCATAGTGCATGTAATTCGATTACATGCATTCCTAAGAATGTTACATGATGCACAACTTCAAAAAAAACACTGTTCGATAATATGCTGTGCTAAATTTTTACCATAGAAATAATTAGAAAAAATGTTTTCTCTATCATTCACATTTGATTAATTTTGATACGCATCTGTTTATTTGTTTTTCTCAGACTGCCTTATGTTTAAATGTTAATTTCATCCTAATTGGAAATAACTTCAGCGGACTTTTAAAATAAAAGCTACTGATTTAATAAACTTGCCCTAAGATTCATGTAGAAAATCTTTGATTAAAACAAATGAAAGTCAATGTACTAGAAATAGAATAAATATTTGTTTTGGTTAGATGTCGATTTTTCTATATTTACAAAAAGTCAAATTTATTTTAAATAACATATAGAATTTTCTATCAAATACGATATCGTATATCATTCAAAATGAAATAACAATTCCGCTAATAAATTGAAAACAATTTATCATAATCTTAACTACAACGTAATAAAACATATTTTAGATTTCTGATTTACAAAATGATTCATCATCAAGTTTGAAAAAGTCAAAATCATCGACTGAACGTGCACCACTAACAGGAATATCAGATATTGATGAACCACTTTATGAAGTAAAACATTTTATAAGAAAAATATTAATGATTGAACAAATTTTCTTTCATTAGTTAGTTGATTTATTTGTTCGTGATTATATTGAAATATGGTATAAAACTCAAATAAGTTCTGATGAATCATTTATTGATGATGTAAAAAGTGGAATCTATACAACTATTCGTCATTTATCGGAAAGGTTACCAAGGACACATGTTTATTTTTTATTAATTTCTTATTGAATATTTTCTGATCAGATTACGTGAAATTGATTGGTTGGATTTTTGTACTGGAACCATTGTTGATAGTTTTGCAACACACGTTCGATTATATCGAAATGCAAAAGAACGTTTACGTCTAGAACAATCAACAGATATTCGTTCATGTTTTTTCGATTTAGAAGCTGAATATGAAAGAGGCATTTGTCGAGATGAAGTTTGTATGGATAAAGATAAAGAAAAAGGTATTATTATGTCGTTTAATTAATTAAAAATCATCCATTAAAAAAAAATATATATATATATATTAAATAGAATTTCTTCGAGATATTGTTGAAGTTCTCATCTATATTCTTTTGCCTGCTAATGAATTCCGTTGTGTACCAGCTCGGGTTCTTATTCGAGTATGTCAAATTCAATTTAATAGCAATCATCTTTTATTTTCATTTCTTTTTAAAGGAAGTTGCAGTTAATTTAGGTCTAATACCTTTTATTGATATGTATTCAGATCCAGATGCAATCAATCAATTGATTATCAATATGGTAAGAAAAAATAGAAATACTCGAGATAGTGCTAACATAATCACTGAGGTACTTTGTTGCTGTTTATGGAACTTGAGAAAGTTTTCTTTTTGTGTACTCAAAAAGTGAGTACATTCTAGAATCGCTCAGTGTGTCCGGCCGTTAACACGATAACTCTAGAAAGCCTCATCCAATTGTCTTGAAATCTTGTACACAGAATGATCTCATCAATATCTCAGTCGAGCTCGAATATGTGAAGTGTCCGTCAAGAAATGGCTGAGTTATCGAAAAAATTGCCATCATTGACCAGACCATCCCTGAGCGGCGGGGAGGAGAGGGGTACAGGGATTTTTCAAAAAAACTTTCTTTTCTCGGAATTATTCAAAACATATATAAATCTACTCAGTTTTTGCAGTACACGTAACAATCGGATGCGAATCCGACGTTCCCTCATTTATTTTTTACCTAGTACTAGTTGAGACACATTTCTATGGGTTTTTGATAGTTTATCATTCTTCAAACTTATAACATAATAAAACAAATTTGATAAGACATGTTTGTTATGATATGTGACGATAAAATTATATTCTATCGTTTCGATATGTTTTTTTTTACTTTTGACTTTTCTCATTGTTTATATGGGAATCTTTGCTAAGAAAGTATCAGACTTCAAAGTTGATCTTTCTGCTGCTTGCCTGTTGGGTGTGCGTGCTAGAGAGACACAGAGAATGAATAAACATAAGAAAAATAACCCTAATCAAAATTTTATAACAGTGAAAAATAACATAGCTAGAGGTGTCAGCCGAAGGGGTGAACGGCGGCGGTGGGCAACAATTTTCAATTTTTAAAGATTTCCAGCGGCTTATTATTTGAATGAGTAATGTCTTCAGGGGCGGCTGCTACAAATTCTTAAATTGTTTTCCACAGCGGCGGCGCCGGTTGATATTTGCAAGTCCTTATGAGACGGCGGCGGCTGAGTAAAAAATTCGCTGATGAAAATTAAAAGAAAAATGTTCGATTCAATCGCATATGTATTGATGTTAGCGGCGGTGGATGACGCTATCAAAATTTTTTATCTCTTGCAGCGGCACAACGGCTAAACTTGTTTTTTCGCAGCGGCGGCTCCCCAAAAATTCTTAAAGTTACCAGCAATTTGGTGGCGGCGGCGGCGGCGGCTGATATTATAGAAAACTCGGCTGCTGCGGCGGCTCAGCCGCACGGCTGACACCTCTAGCGGCAAAATAACTTTTTTTCAAAAAACAGAATTTAATTCTTTACAAAAATCAGCTTTTTTATTTATTTAAATGTTTTTCATTGTTTTTTGAAACCTTTAACAAACGAGCAGTTCATGAACGGGTTGCCACCTCATCAGGTCAGAAAAGCGGAAAGTTTGATCAAAAAGAGCGAGAAATAGTGGAAAATAGCGGAAACAAAAATAGAAAAAACGGAAAGCTGCTTTTTGCTGACCTTTCACATTTCCAAGAGTTTAAGTAACCTTGTTTTATTACTCATAGTACTACTTTGTTCGCAGTTCCACAACATAACAGACAACTCATAAAAAATATCAGGGCGTACCTGGCCTGAAACTCCAAGAAGAAAAGATAAACGATTTCCGGTTCAAAACTAAATATCTTTTTTCTGTCAATTCTTTTTCTATTCATCTTTTCTAAAAGTGCCAAACAGGGAACATGTTTGTATCGTCCCAAAAAATGTTCGTTTTGTGATAGTGAAATGACCGTATTGTGACTGTCAGTTCACTATTTTTCCCCGAGAATATACCACCGAATGCGGCTCCTTTTTGGCACGAATTAAAACATTGGCCCGAAAAACGTACAATCCAAAAAATAAACCTCGCTTTTTACAAGTCTAAGAGGATAATGTTGTTCTTTACATTCAGCTGCCGAATGTGGCTATGCTTTCATCTATTATATTAACAAATGAATAAGAACATGAAAGAAATTTTTTTTCACTGGTCTTTCAAATCCAGGTGAATGTATTTCATAGTGGAGGCCAAAATGAACACGAAATGTGTTTCACTAGAAAAATTTATTGGAAAATCTATTATGTGAAGCGAAAATTTTTCAAGAATTGTATAGAATTATACGTTAGAAAATTATTTTCCAAGAAATTTTCGTCTAACATCACGTTATCTAGTTTCTTGAATGGTTAAGTTTTCAATTAAACAACGAAAGTCTTTTATATGAAAAAGCGGAAGAGGTGGCAACCCTGCATGTAACAATACTAATCGGTTAACTGAACGAAATCAATTTGTTGAATCAAGGAAATCGATCCCGTATAATGAATATAAGAAAAGAACTGGAATAACAAAAGATTCATAGTAATCATAAATGAATAGAGATAATTAAGATGAGTAACAAGTGAGCGAATCATTTGGCGAGTGGCGATGGAGAGCGCGAAGGAAATAATTCCTATAAATATTATTGTGAATGCTGTGAAATTCCTCTAGGATGAGTGACAAAAATACTTTAGAAGATTACCAGTGCTTGTAAGAGGATCGCTACTCATTTCTATATGTGATTTACCTAGTCGTTTACCATAATCGAAAAACGATGAGAAAAAAATCAGGGTAAATAGCTGGAATAAAGACATTCGAAAAATCAGAGAAGTATTGTCACTGTGAGACCCCTGCTGAGATATATAGTAATTGCTCATTACTGCGTGTACAGTGTGAATAAAAAGCTTATCTTCATTTGGTTCATTTTTCCTGTTAATATACGTATACGTTAGTTATTTGATTTTCATTATTACAGAACGTGGTTCATTGCCAAAGAATTTTTCAATGCTCTTTTATTACCTCATTATCAGACACGTACATGTACACGTACTATCTTAGACGGCTCAAGTTTTAATTCAATGAAAAAATTAATTTGAAAAATAAATATCGATAAATAAGAACATATCATTCAATATTTAGCATTCCGGATTAAATCATTTTTATCTTATTGTGATATACTTATGTAATTAATTGCAACAATTAAAAACACAAAAAATTTCATTTATATGATTGTCTTTTGAAAAGTTGATAAGTTTTGTATTTATGTTATTATCTTTTCTTTTCTTTTCTTGAAATATAATTATGAATAAATCTTATTGACTATATTAAGATTGAATGGGAAAATGATAGAATCCGATTGAATAGGGTATTGATTATCTAAAATAAGTGTTCGATCTTTTGAAGTTGAAAATAATTCTTTCAAGTAATGTAAAAGCTTATATTTTATTTGTGATTGATTATTTAATAAAAGAAGAATGTTATTATTTATGATAAACTTATTTTCTCATATAAACTATTCGTCCAACGATATCACCGAATCGAAATTATCTTAATCAACTCATTAAATATTCTTCTCAAACGGAGCAAACTCGTTGTCCATTTATTTATTCATGAATAAATCTTCAACGAAAAAATGAAAAATAGAGCAGAAAAAAGAACCAATCAAAAGATCTTATTTATTGATTTTGTGGTTTACTAAAATAAGAAAAGAAATTATGAAAAACTAAAACAAAATGAAAAAAAGCAAATAACTTACTTGGCCCATTCAACTTTTAAAATCAGATGATCATAACCAAATCCAGAAACACATTCAATAGCTTTTTGTGCATCTTTCTTTTCATTAAATGTAATAAAAGCGAACCCTTTTGATGTATTATTTGTTTTATCTTTAGCTAAAAATACTCGACTAACAGAACCAAATGGAGTAAATAAATCGCGTAAATCTTGTTCTTGAGTTTCTTCAGGTAAATTAGTAACTCGAACAGTTGCTTCATCTTGTTTTCTCATATCATTGGATCTACCAGCATAAGAGCCACGCGTTGATCCTCCCCGATCACCAGGATAAGCTGTACCTGCACCAGGACGACGTGCTGAGACTGAAACCCATTTACCAGTTGTTCCTTCAGCAGGTGTTCCTGTTGATGGATTTTGACCTTGTGGTGTTGAAATATTAATTGTTGATGGAATATTGTCAGCTTAAATATTTAAAAAAGAAATATTTAACAAAATGTTTGCTGAATAAAATAAATGAATACTTGGTTTATCAATTGATTGCTCCATAAAAGATTGAAGATTATCTTTATATGGGCATTTAGTTGTCCAATGTTCACCTTTACATAAACGACATTGAACTTTACGTAATGTTGATACAGCATCTTTAATAAGTTTCTCTTCATCTTGTTTATCATCCTTTAATAAAGAAATGTTTTATTTTTGTTTACTTTTGTTTTTATTAAAATTTCAAGTAAAAAAAATAATATTAACTTCTTTATTTGAGATGAATTGCATTGTTATTTCATCATCAACTTTAGTTGTTGCTGTATTTATACCAGGTGCATCATTGGATGCGTTTCCAAATTTTTTCCATTTCTTGATTGATTAAATATAAATAGATATTTTCTTAATAGTTAATTTTCTTACTTTTCGTTCGGCAACAATTGGTAAAACTTTTAATTTTTGATTTCGATAAGTTTTTGTTGTCTAAGAAAAAAAAATTGTTAGTTTAGAAAAAAAAATTAATTTCGAAACAAAATGAATACCTTATAAATAGTTCCATTTTCTTCTCTATATTCAACACGAATTGTTTTACCGTCATTTGTTTCGTGAACTTCATTTGCTGGAACTAAAATGATTGAAAAAGATTCAAATAGAAAAATAAAATTGAATTGAAGATAACCAACTTCGTTCATGTTCAACTTGATGATGCCAATCACGTTTTGTTGTCATTTTTATCGTATTTTAAACTAGAATTAAACGAGAATATAATTAATGGAAATATCTTCTCTTATAATCAGCTTTTATATTTTGTGCGTGTTTTTTACTAGAAACCGATTGGCTATATTATTACGAAAGTTATTTTTTATCCATTCGATTCGATTTTGTTATTTTTTCTATAGGATAAAAAAAGAAAAGATGTCTCTAGATGACTATTCTCAAAGTCATATCTTACATATGAAAATAAATTATTTCGTTGTTCACTTCACTCTTCAGATGCTTTGGATACAAAAGTATCTGAAGAGTTAAAATTTCGAATAGTTTTTTTTCCAATGAGATTTGAATTTTAAAATATAATCTATATCTTTCAAAATAAAATTTACATTATAATTTAAGAAATTTTGTACATTTCTATTTATCTGCTTGAATTTGAATAAAGAACTCTAAAGTTCTTTACGTACCCTAAAAAATGAACATTTTTATTTTTAACGATTAGTTTTTTTTGTTTGCTGCTCGTAGAGAAAATTACCTATGAATTTTATATTACTTACACCAAAAAACAAACCAAATCAGCTGACAATATTTTGTCAATGAATAAAAGCAAATTTTTAATTAATTCTTAATGTATATTAAGTAAAAAAAGTAGAATAATTTACGAAATAAATATTCAGCAAAGGATAACTTGAAAAATTGTTTTTCAAGAAATCTCAATAAAATTCTTGCAATTTTTCTTATGATTATTCATTAAATGAAGTCAAACATTTTCGAAGAGAGATTATTTTTGCATAATAATAATAATTTTTTATTATGAATCAAAGTGACAGACAGAGATGTCCGCAGAGTGACCTTTTGCACCCTGTCCTGCCCTACACCCGGTTTACTCTTCCCTGCCATGTTGAAAAAAAATGAATAAATTTAAGATGCATTCTGTCCCTGCCCTGCTGAGTTAAAATAGTGGCTGTGCTATAATTTTCGATATATTTTATACTAAACAGGTATTTTTCTCATTGTATCATACAGGATTCAAAATTTTTTTTAATTTAAATTAAGCTAATTTTAGAATAATAGTAACATTCCACCCCAAATAACACAAAAAAGAAGCGTGCAATAAGAAGAAAAGCGAATGATACAATATACATAATTAACTTAGACTCATAAGTTTATTGTAGAACTTCAGTTGAACAAAATTTACAAAAATAACAGCAGAAAATAAGATAACCACCATGAACAAGAAAAAAAACTGACAATAAATAGATAATTTACTTTTTATGTGAACGTTTTCCTGCTGATCTTACTAATAAAATGCTTTCTAGACTAATTTGGTTGAAGATTTGGTCTTCTTTCGTTTAAAATCCAACCAGCTGTGGAAAATTTTCTTTCCACATTTTTTATTGTTGCAGGAATGGAAAATATTGATCGAGCATAATTACTTTGAAAGATATGGAGAAGTTTTTTGATGATTTTTCCAAAACTCTGACGGTTGCTTTGCTTCTTTATTTTTATCGAATTCAAACAATCAATATCGATCAAGTTCATCACCTTTTTTTTATAGTATAATCATATTCTTCAATTTCATTTCCGCTACTGTTATTATCAGTAAGCTCTTCACTTAAACTTCCAGATTCAAATCGCACACGTTTTCTACTTTAAGTCTTTTTTTGTGGTTCATTGAAGTGTTGTTGGTGTGCTTGTTTTTCACGTAGTTTTTTAGTTTGTCCTCTAATATATTCAAAGCACTGCTCTTGTACATAATTAGGTATTTTTTTCGAATCAGAAATTCAAACAACTGGGTTTTCGTTTTGCAGGGTACATCTCTCACCCTGCCCTTTGGACATCTCTGGTGACAGATAAAGCTGAATAGTGTTATTTCCTTTAATAATTAATAAAAGGATTGGTTATTAAAAAGAAAAAACATAACATATTAAATCAAAAAAAGATAGAAATAAGACTGTTAACATTATTATCAACAAGAATAAGATAAAAGATAAATTTGGTCATTGTTACAACGCGAAAAAGCAATAAATAAAAAAGCTTAGTATCCTGCGTTTTTCTTTGAATTTTGTCTATGGCAGACTAAGAAAATGTATATATGAATCTGCAGTGAATTGAGATAAGTATATGACAATATGATGACTCTTCAAAAAACTACCTACATAGTAGAAAGATTTTCTTTTCAACAAAGTAAATACAGAGTTCTACTAACAGATTTTATAATAATAAAACAAAATGTAGCTATATAAATTCTTTTTAAATCTATGAAAAATCATTGAACAATTTTATTGATTATACTCTTCTGTTAGCTAAGTCTTGACTTATTCATGTTTGCTTGAAAAATATTATAATCAAATTTAAAAACACATAGATTCATTTTTTTAAAGTTTATTCAATGACAAGAACTATTGTAGAGTATGAATTCGAAAATTAAATGCAAATATCTGTACGATCGAATACTTCGTCATTGAAAAACGTTTGCTTTACTTGAGATAAACTTTTTATGTATTTTAATAAAAACAAGCTTTTTATTACTAAGCCAAAATGTATTTAGCACAATAAGAACAAAAAATCCGTAAATTGAATTCAAAATTCTCACATATTACTTTACATCAGTTAATGATGATTATTTCTAATTGAGATTAAATAAATATAATAAGCCTAGTGATGTTCATTCTACGAAAACAACTTTTCAGTCTGTTTTTTTCCGAACATAAATCAATTATTTAAAGAAAATATTTCACTTAAAAATAAAGTTTATTTTGCTATTTTTTCTTTTCTATTTAGTTTAATAATAAAATAGAAGAAGTGAAATTCATCGAGCTAAACTCATTGTATTGTACTTGATTTAAAATTGCAAAAAGAATCGATGGCAATATTTACTGAAGCTCCATATATCGCAGCGTTGAAAGAAGAATTTTTAACAAATCGATGTTCTTCATGTTTTAAATCCAGTAGAAATAAATGTTCGGACTGTAGAATAATCGTTTATTGTAATGATCAATGTCGAATTAATGATCAAATTTATCATAAATTGGAATGTGAATATTACAAAAATAAATCTGAAAAATTAAAATTTGAAGAAACAGTTATTGCACGAATGATACTTCGAGTAATAACTCGTTTAAATTTAGATGGGGGTCAACCATCTATTGATTTATGCTCAAATTTACCAGATAGAATTCATCGACGATCATGGTTTGATTTAGTTGGACATCGAGATGAAATTCCTTATTCAGATCGACATTGGAATCTTTGGTTAACAACAATAAATCAAGTTAAATTATTAGTTCAAGATCAATTTGATAATATTGATTTATTAGCGATATTTGGTAAAATTTTAATTAATCGATTTCGTGTTGCTTTTCATGAAAATCCTTTTAATGAACGTATCTGTATTGGTTGGGCGATTTATTTAACAGTATCAGGTTTTAATCACAGTTGTCAACCGGATTTACTCCAATGTTCATATGATATTAATATGCGTTTAAAATTTAATGATTCTAATAGGACTATTCCTGAAACAACAGTAGAATTTAATAAATTAACGGTTAATTATCGTCATCAAAACGATTTTCGTTTAAAAAATCCGTCAACTTATGTTCCAACCCGAAAACAACGTCGAAATTTTATTAATTTCTTTTTTTTCAATTGTCATTGTATTTATTGTAGTAATGATTTACGTAATCGTTATGCCGAATCATCTACAAATCGCTTATGTAGTCAATGTGGAGATTTTTTGGTCCTGGAAAAAAACTTTAATGATTCAATGAATTCCATACTTGTTTGTCTGGGAAGAAATAAATGTTCTCAATATGATAAAATTATTGATCGTATTAACATTTCATCTATTGATAATGCAGAAGAAACAATAAAAATTTGTGAAGATAAATTATCAAACATTGAACAATTGTTACATCCACAAAGTATTTTATTATTACAACAACGAGAAAAAGTCTTTTTTGCTTATCAAAAACTTTTAAATGAAAATAATTTAAATGAAAATCAACGTACAAATTATATCAATCGTGCTATTCAATTGGGTGAACTTTTAATGAAACAATATGATATTCATTTACAACAATCGTCAATTTATCCGAAAATTTTTCTTACTGATTTAGCTAATCTTTGTGACAGTGTTGGAAAAGAGGATCAAGCAAAACAGCTTTATTCGAAAGCACTTCATTTATGGCGTCAAGATTATCAAGATCATATTGACTATAAAGATTTTTATGTAAAATTATGAAGATTAATTGTTATCAATCATAGCCAATTCATTCATTTTAAGTCGATTCTATTTAATAAATAAAAATCAATTTTTATAATTGTATTTTTCTTTTTAAACTATATTCCGCTTCCGAATTTGACTCAAGTATTCATAAAAATAGTTTGAGTCCGATCGAACATACTGTATGTGAGGAGAAGAAAGAAAATTACATCTATTTTGCTAAAAAAAACGGGACTTGTAGAAAATGCAAAAGTAAAATATTGTATTTTTCAGATGTATTTTTTTCTATTTTACTCAATTAAAATTATTACATATGATCCTTTCTTGCGCTTCGAATATGAATATAATGTGCTGGTTCTGAGAGATACTTATCAAATTGATAAGCAGGATAGATTCACAAGGCTAGCAGCTTTCATTTAAAGGTAGCGTTTTTCGAAAGAAAAGCTTTTTCAAGGTCTATGCGACTTGGAATAAAAACGAGAAGACCGCCGTTAAGTATCATCGTCTATTTTGAAAACAAAAGACGAGATCGTCTTTGAAATAATCTGTCTCTTATAAGAGATACAGACTATCAATTAAACATAATATACTAAAAGGTTTGGCGTAACTGTTTTTATACATAACTTAAATATACATACATGATTATTAATTAAATAAAATTTTTCTAATTAGATATTTTTATCAGTGAATTAGATGATCTCTTTCAATATTAATATTTATTTAAGAATACTTCTATCATTGATTAGTCAATTATTTATTTCTTAACGATTTTCTTTTTATTTATTTATTTTTGAAGAAAAACATATAACGATTTTTGAACGAAACGGATCATTGCATAATATGTTCTTCATTAGTTTCTTTCTCTTTTTGTTGTTGTTGAATAGATAATGGTTCATATGTCCATTTTGGATAAATACGTTTGTAGAGATTCATAAAAATAGTATCTTGTGATTTAAGAATTCCATCAAATTGACATTTCATATGACCGTGTGTACCTATTTAATTAAATTAGTTCAAAGTTTAAAAAAGTTTACAAATAATCTACCAAGTGATTCTTTGATATGTCCTCGTCGACCCCATCGTGTACGTAATTCAATTGGTTTAAACCAATTAATATCATCTAGGAAAATAAAAATTAAATTAAGTAGAAAAATAAATAAAACTAACCAGGATTAAAAAACATATATCGAATAACAGCTGATCTTTTATGAATTTTAAATGGATGTCCGCTGATTACAATTCTTTTTAATGTTACACGATCTGGATTAACTGAAAGAACTGAACCAGTAGCTACTAATTCTTGACGACCTTTATTTAATATAAATACGATAAGTAACTAAAATGAATATATGATGAAAGTAAAAATCACCATCAGGGTATTCTTTAAATGCTAAAACAGATGCTGGTGGATATGTTATTGGACCAAAACATGTTGCAACCAATGTTTGATGAGCTCGAAAATATCTTTCGAACTATAAATAAAATAAAACATTATTTTTACTATTAAATAATAGATAAAAACAAACTTTATGTTTATCTCCATTTGTATGCTGAGAATAAATTGGTGAACTTGCAAAACGACGAAAACCGACATGAAATATAAGACGTTCTTTGGATTTAAGAATTATTTCACTATCATTCGTTCGATTTAAAACAATATTTAATACTGATAGACATTGCTCATATGGTAAAAGACCAGTTGAAAATAAATGATAGCCAGGTTCTAGAATTAGACAAAAATCGTTTATTTGTCTTTCTCAATAAATAAACATTGTTTTACCAAATCGAGTAACAGGAACATCTTTTACGTAAAGAGTTACATAACTATGAACCTGTAACAAATAATAAAATTAAAAAGCAATGATTTTATTAATAGCAAAAAACTGTTTTGATAGACATCTATAGTAACTAATATATTAGATTTATATGACAGGAAGGTTTTTCTTTCTTGTTCTTGTTCTTACTCTTATAATTATCATTTCAGTATTCAGTCAGAATTCATTATCAAATAGACGAAAATTTTCAAGTTTAATAACGAAAACAAAATATTGAAATTATTTTTAAAGCTAAAAGGCAACAGGAAAAGATTTTTGCAAATATAAAAAGAAAATATCGGTTGTCTAAAAAAATACATGAATATTTTAATCAATATCATTTCAACGAATCTATAGAGATAAATACTAATTAATCAATTTTAAAACATCCTCATCAAAGAAAGCAAACGTCAAAATTGCATTTTTTTAAAACAATTTTGATAATACATAGAACTAACCGGAGCATGATCTTGTGTTATTTGATTATTGTCTTGTTCATTTTGTATTTGTTTAATCATAGCACGAAAATTCGGAAATTGATAAATTCTTCCATAATCAGATGGTAAATTTTCTTTCACATCCCATTTTGTTGTTCGAAAACTTTTCAAACCTCGATATCTTTTAAAAATATAGAAATAAATAAATAAAATATTTTGATTTTATTTTCAAAAAAGAAATACTTTTGAAATCGAACACGAGCAGGAACATCCATTGGTGTATCAATTTCATCGGGAAATTGTTCATCTAATTTTGCATCTTTTATTTGTTTCAAACTAAAAATGATGTTTTTTTAAATTATCTAAATTCTAACAAGGTTAATAAAAACAAACGTTTGTTTATCTTCTTCTAAATCATATTTTTCATCATAATTATTTGGATTCATCTCAACTTCTTCCATTTCTTCTTCTTCTTCTTCTTCATCTTGTTTATCTGCTTGATCGAGTTGAATTGAATGCAGATCATCGGCATAGTCATCCATCATATCGTGTTCATTATCATTTAAATCCTAAAAAAGAAAAGCAGTTGAAATTTAATCAAAAATAACAACGAACATTTTGTTGTTTTTCTGAATTATCATCTTCATCATCTGATAATATCCATGCAGCTTGATATTGTGATGTACCTTTGGGTACACGCTTTTTCAATTGATGTTTTGCTTTATCAATTTCTTCTTTAGTTGGCCATGTTTGATCTTCATCATAATTCATTGGATCTTGTTCAGCTTCAAATGATAACGATCGTTGAAGATCTTTATCAGGTAAATAATTATTTTCAACTATTGGTTTTAATATTCCATCAGACTAAATTATTTCAATTAAATATTAATTTAATAAAAAGAAAAGTTTATTTTTCTTCAAATTTTACATCTCGTTGAAATCGATGTTCTTCAATTTTTTCTAATTGAAATGTTCCTAAATTAGGAATATAAACAAGATCGTTGGGAGATAAATGAGTTCCACGCAAGTATCCACTTAATTTTAATGTACTTTTTGATGACTTGAAAATTTAAATAAAAAAAAAGAAGCAAGAAAAGATTCATTCTCTTAAATGAAATAAAGTTTACTTTTGGATTTTCATAAGAAAACGTTTGAGCAAATAAGTAAGGTCTTTGAAATTTTTTACTTATTTTAATTAATTTCTGTTGTGTTAATTTATTAAGAAGACGTTGGGCATCTTGTTGATTATCTAATGGAGTTAATTTAACATCGGAAAATTTTTTTTCAAGAAATTTTTCTAAATTTTTAAATGACGAAACTTTTGATGTTGATGATATTGTTGACATGTTGTCATCGTTTGAAGATGATATTACGGAATAAATAATTGATTGGGGAAGACAATGTATATTAATTAAATCAATTAAATAATCACCTTCTATTGATAAACCAGTCGATGACGATATTATGTAAATTATTGTATCAGACATCTAAAATGTTTTTTTTATTGAAAATAGATAAATTGTAATTTTTTTATATAATAAATAACCTTTGCACAATCCAGAATGTTTTCTAAATTTGTTACTGTTGGTGTTAAAAAACAAAATTTCGATCGGAGTTTTGGACATCTACATTTAATTAGAAAAAACAATTTTTAAAATGTATTAAATTGATTCAATATACGTATAAATTCTTGCACCACAATCAGTTGCTTGATCAGATGATTTTTGATCATTAATAGAACTTGTTATTAATTCAACGATTGAAAAAACATTAACATCCGATGATAGAGGTATTACTGTCTAAATAAATTTATTTTATTATTTCAAATACTTAAATTTTTTTCCTATTCTGAAGTTTGAACATTAGCTGTAAAACAGATTTGATTATCTATTCAAAATGTACTCCTTGGTAATTTTCAATTTTGTTTTTGAATGATAAATTTACATTTGAATAATTTCTGTTTTATGAATCTATGATAGTTTGTCATTTTTTGGTTGTAATAAAAGAAAGAAGTGTTCTTTGACTTGGATGATCTCTCAATATCTTAATAGTAGGATTGAGTATTACTGATGACTTTAAAAATTTGATTTCGCTTTAAAATTAAATTAATTGGAAATATTTACAATTATTTGTGGAACTCCATCAATAGCTCCAATTGTTTGTCTTGCTTGTTTATTCGCCTGAAGCTTTTGTTTTCGAAGTTGAATAGCTGCATTTACTCGATCTTGTTTACTGGTGATATTTAAACGTTTTAAACTACGCGCATGTTTGTTTTCTGCAACTCGACCTTAAACAAAATCATTTCATTAATAAATTATTTAATATAAAGAATAGATAACAAAACCTTTTGTGCTTCGTTTAATTTCATGCTGAGATCGATGACGACCAGTTTTAAATTTTTTATTTTGTTGCTTAAGTGCACCTGGACGATGAACATTGTTATTATCACTACTAGGTGTCATTTTTTGTTTCTATTATCTAGAAAATTTTATTTGATTAACTAATGTTTCTCAAATGAAATTTGAATATCTATCTATATCTATCTATCTACCGAAATAGTATGTCTTATTCTCATTTTAATTGGTCAAAATAAATAACTGACGGAATTTCGATTCGATCAATATTAGAATGAAATAAATAATTTAATCGAAAATATGTCAATTTAAATAAAGTTCATCGTAGTTGAATAAAAACATAATATTTATTATATTGAAGTATAGATGTCGATAGTAACCGATGATTAACGAGCAACATTTCGTTTTATTTTGTTCTTTACTAATTGTTATATAGTGATTCACATAAGAACAACAGCGGTTCAAATAAACGTTAAACGTTTGTTTTAATATTCAAAACAGCTGTCAGATGTAATTCGAAAGTCTTAATTTTCTCTCTTTGTGCTGTACTAATCCACCAGGTAATGAATCCGATTGAATATTTTAGCAGTCAACAGATCCGATGAGGTTCCATGTGTCGAAGAACTGATCCGACAGCAGAATATAGGTGGATGCCAATACTAACGATCTAATTGTTGAAATGATTCTCCGGGACAGATCAATAATTACGGGCTCTTTATACAAGAATCTTGCACTACACTATAGTCGATGATCTTGACTTCGTTCTTTCCAGATTCTTGCATTTCTTGATTATCAGAGAAGATTCTTGTCTGATCTTCAAAAAATCTTGAATATGCAAACTCTACTAATTCGACAAGCGATAGAATAAAAAAATCAAATTTAGAAAAACTTGGGCGATGATGTTGCACTTGTGATTGTGACGTCCGAATAGAAAACATGTAAAGATGACTGTTCGATATTCCATGAATAAGGAAATTGCAACGAAAAAAGATTGAAATAATTTAAGTGCAAGAGAGAGAGTGTACCCACTCAGGTCGAACAGTCCGGCCTAGAAACGGTCGGTCCTGGGTAGTTGCGTTGATTTTGTGGAGCAGTATTAGGTTGAAAAATTTTCGAATTTTTTCCGGTGATTTCCGGTCAATTCCTGCCGGAAAGCGTCGGTACCTGGTAGGAATCCGCCGGAAAAGTCCGATCGTATTTTTGACCGGAATACTGCTTCCATGTACCAGCGATTTCTCGTGTTTTCCTGCAGAATATGGTGGCTTTTCCGCATATTTTCTGGAGCATCCTACGGGATCCGGTGGCCGGAATGTTCGACCTGGGCATATAATAAAAGCGGACGGTTTTACTTTGGCAGTTGCCAGCTCATTTTACTGTAATTTACCGCGATAAACCGCTTTTTTTGACTAACACTAAGATTTTACGCTAAAAATGAAGTGACATTTGTGATATGGGTATTCAGATTCATTAAGTTTAGCATCATTTTCTTATTTATGTGAATAGAAAATGCAAAAAAAAAATATTTTGTTTTTCTAATGGTAGAAATAGATGTCGATAGATATCAACGAAGAAATATGCAGAATTAATTTATTGATCATGTGTGGTGCACTCGAGCACTATTGGTACGTGTGATGTCACATTTAGCACGCTTGTAGTTGATCTCGCTCGCTCGCACGCATCTTTTTAACTTGACGCGAATGATTCAATGGTAAAACATTATTGGTCTTACGTTAGAATGTTTTCCACTAGAAAAGAATTTCAGGCAGACAGATAGATATTCATTGAATTTCTTCTATTTTTTAATTGCAATTTATAATGACAAATAATTTAAGTCGTTGTCCACATGTAGCTACAATTGGATTTATTTCAAAAGAAGATTATTCCAATGCTACAGAAGTTTGTTTGTTTATCTTTTTATTTAGTAAAATTGTCAATATATATTTAATTTAGGCTGAAAAATGCGAAAAGTGTGATTGCATTGGTCCTCATTTATGGTTATGTTTAAGAGAAGGTTGTTTGTTTGTTGGTTGTGGCACAGGTAAAGAAAAAAATGATCATAGTAGCGATCATGAAAAAGAAAAAGCACATCCGCTTCAATTTAATTTAACAACAAAACGTGTCTGGTGTTATGTTTGTAATCAAGAAGTTCGTCTAAATAATGATCCATCATTTGAGTAAGTATTTTATTTTTCAAAATCAAAAAATAATCTTATGAATCTATTTATTAGATTATCATTTCTTGATCGTTCAATAGTACCAACAAAATCTTCGAAATTATTAAATAATTCTGGACAAGTTATTAATGAAATTGAAGAAAGTTCTTCAAATCAATCAGTGAATCATCAAAATCAATATGAAAAATGTTTTGAACCAACACTTTTTGAACTTGAACATACGGATACAACAGATTTTACTCGAGGTTCACGAAATTTTTCTATACTTTTATTTTTGAAAATGTTTATTTTCTTGTTAGGTATATCGGGTTTATATAATTTAGGTAACACATGTTATATGAATTCAGCTTTACAAGCACTTTCGAATTGGTAAAAGAAATGATAGAATTTTTTTCTTAAAAAACATATTTAATTGAAGTGTTCCATTGACAAGTTATTTTCTTGATTGCATTCCATTTATTGGAATCAATTCTTATCGTCGTGTTAATGGTGATTTATCGAATATGAAATCAAATGGACGATTAGTTAAGGCGTATTTTAAATTTATTGAATCAATGTGGACAAAACCTCTTCAAGGCAGACAAAGGTTATTTTTCTAATTCTTTTTTTCTACTGTTGAAAAATAAAATTTTATTTATTTCAGTCATGTCATTAATCCAAGTAGTATAGCAGCAGAAATCCGTTCAATAAATCCATCATTTCGTTCATATACTCAACAAGTAGAGTTGATAAAATTGAAAGAAAAGTCTAACTGAATAACTAAATATTTAATTTAAGGATGCTCAAGAGTTTCTTCGATGTTTCATGGATGAATTACATTCAGAAATGCGTCTTGTTAAATACTATGCCGATGAAAAACATAGAAGTGAAAGTAGCAGTACAGATAATAGTCAATGCGATGTCATTGTATCAAAGTATGTTTAAATTTTGTTCTATTCATAAAAATTACCGTTGAAATATTAACACATTTTTTTTCGAAGTAATTAAATTGATGGTTAAATTGTTTGAATAATTTTTATTTCTTGTGTTTTCTGAATCAATGAATAACTTCAAAAAAAAAGAGAAGAATTCCTTAAATATCTTCCCTGAAAATAGCATAAAGATTCCCATTGACTGATCTGAAATTTCAATTTGAATACTATTAATTGATGATTTGAAATCTTTTTCCGATGAAACCCAATTTTCTAAAGATTTATTTATTGATCTCAGGATTATTTATTTTGTTTTTGTGTTTGTTTAAAATAGTTTAAATGGTGAATCCGAATATGAAACATGTAATTCTGGTTCTACGTCAAGTAGCGATGATTATAGTAATGATGATGATTTAAATAAGTATTCATCAATAAATGAAATAAAAGAATATTCTAAAAAAAAAAAATTCTATCAAGATAAATATGATAAATTAAGTCGAACTGATTCTGGTGTTTCACTTAATAGAAATAAATGCGATAAAAAAGTAAAAGAAAGCATTTCAAATAAAAAATTTAAAATGTCAAATTCAATAATTTCATCAATATTTGATGGATCAATTCAAAGTCAAATTGAATGTTTAACATGTAATCGTCGTTCATCAACAATTGAAACATTTCAAGATCTTTCATTACCGATTCCATCAAGAGAACAACTAGAAGTGAGCAATTATTTTGTCTAAATATTTATTTATATTATTCGAAAAAAACAAATTTTAAGAAATTTCATGCAATACAATGCGGAAACGATGAACAATTATTTTTAAAGAATCAAGAAATTTATGATAATAATTCAAATTCTTGGATGTCATGGTTTTATTCTTTATTTAAAAAGTTCATTTTATTAATTTTTATTTTATTTTATTTTCTTAATTAATTCTTTTTTGTTTTTAGTTTATGGACATTGAATATTTGGGGACCACCATTAACTTTACAAGATTGTCTTCAAGCTTTTTTCCAAGCTGACGAACTTACTGGTGATAATATGTATAGTTGTGAAAAATGTCAAAAGTAATATTTTTATAAATCATTTAACAAATAAGAAAATATTTTGATTTGTTTTTTTTCAAATCAGATTAAGAAATGGAATGAAATATTGTAAAGTTGTTGAATTACCTGAAGTAAGCTTTTAATATTTTTTATAAATAATATTTATATTAGAAGAAATTTAATTCTTTTGATGAATTTTATGTGAAACGAAAAATTTAATCACTTTTGAAAAAAATTTCTTTTAATTAAAATTTTAATTTGAAGAAACATAAAAACGAACGAAAAATACTTAGATTTTTTACAATAAAAAAATATTCTTTATTAATCATTTTTATGAAAATTGTTTCTAAAAACTCACAAATTTCTCTCAAGTAAAATTTTAATTTTTCATTCCATATTTTAGGTATTATGCATTCATTTAAAACGTTTTCGTCATGACTCAATGATTTATACAAAAATAGGAAGTTATGTTTCATTTCCATTAGTTGATCTTGATATGAGATCATTTATTCATAAAGGTATTTATTTAGATTTTTTTTCTTGAATTTAAAAAATACTCTAATAAAAATAAATTAGATTGTAAAAGTACAATTCACCTATATGATTTATTTTCATTAATTGTTCATTATGGTCGAGCTGGTAGTGGTCATTATATAACATATGCATTAAATAATCTTAATCAACAATGGTATGAATATGATGATGAAAATGTTCGACAAGTTGATACGGCGATTGTTCAAAATGCTGAAGCATATGTCCTTTTTTATAGGTTTGCACTTTCTAATCAAAGGAAGACGTAAAATGTTTTTTTTTTGTGAATTCTTCTAGAAAAAAAGAGCCAAATATAAGTGAAACCTATGAAACAATTCGTCATTTAATGTCCAGAGATCAAGTTTGTTTTAGCTAAATAAATAAATAGATAAATAAACAAGAATTCTATTTTAAAAGGATTCTCTTCTATCATTTTATATATCTCGTTCATGGATAAATCGTTTATTCTATTTTGCTGAACCTGGTCCAATAACCAATAATGATTTCTTATGTAAACATGGAGGTTTGATAGATTTTGCTTTTGTCAAAAGATTTTATTTTTCTGAACATATTTTTTATTTAAAAAAAATTAAAGGTGTTCAACCAGATTATTGGAGTGTTATTAATGATCTTGTTTGTCCTGTGCATGAAAGTGTTTGGCAATATTTATTTGAAAAGTAAATGGAAACAAGAAAATTTCTAAAATGGCAATAAATTTTATTTAGATATGGTGGATGTTCTGTATGTAATATATTATATCCATGTCGAATTTGTCAATTAGATGATGAAAATTTAAAATGCCGTCAACGCTCAGAAAGAAAAACATTTTTACAAGTAAGTTTAATTAATACTGTTATCATCGTTATCATTGAGAATTTCATCATTTAAATTAGTTTTTGTTTTATTAAACAAGTTTTTCGTACGATAAAGTTCAATATAAAATGTTAAACCAATAATTAAAATAAAACATATAATTATGATTAGAAATATTCCAAGAAAATTCCTTGACGAGTTTTTAAAACTTGAAATTTTCATTGAACTTTTACTTTTATTATTATCTAAAAGACTTTTGTGTTTCTCATTTTTAAATTAAAAAGAAAAGTAAATCTTACGTTTAAAATTTCTTGATAAGTTCTTAATTGCAATGAGAAAAATAATTTTTTCTTTAGAGAAATAAACATTTATGAAAATAAATCTCACTAAATTTATTATTGAATTGGTTTTATTTAAATTGTCAATAGAATTTATCGATATTTTTATTAACGAATTTACTAAAAAGAAATTAAATATCATTAGAATATTTATATTATTTCAATAAAATTAAGAATTCGGTGATTGATTTGAATGAAATAACTGATTCTAAAATTGTAATACTTAAGAATAAAAAACTGTTAAGTATCAAACAAAAAGATATGAATAATGTAATACAATTAAGTAAATAGTATTTTTAAGTAGAGAAAAATAGATACTTTCTTTAGTCGATCATATAGATAAGAATTTCTTTTGCATCTACATAAACGAAAGAAAAGATCTTATTTGGAACTTTTTTTTAAAGATTTTCATTTAATATTAAAAGGAATATTATTCTGAACGTTCTTTTCGATAAAGTTTGATGTCACGAAAAGATAATCATAATCAAATTAGAAAAGAAGCCCTAAATATAATTTAACTGGTTCAAATTTATCAATATTTATTCAAATATTTGAATAGCAATAGTCTTTTTTTCTCTAAAATCAATAACTACAATAACATACTTGTTGTTAATTTGTATTTTTTTCTAGTTGAAATCAATGTAGCATTTTTTAATTGACATCGAGTATAATTGTTAAAATTTACATTTAAATAATCAATAAACTTATCTTCTTGATTTAAAATAATAAATTCTAAAAGATATCTTGTACAATAACTATCTGGTAAAATAAAACATTTATTATTAAATAACAGAATTTGATTATGACTAAAATTAAAATTAATATTACAATAGAATTGAGAAATCTTTTTAATATGAAAACATTTATTTTTTGTTTTATTATTCATAATATTTTCAATAAAAATTGAAACAAGAATATAATTACTATTTATTCTATAATGAACTTTTTTCATTATAAATGGATTAAAATTAATTATTTTAATATAATCAAATTTAATTCGATGATAAAAATCATCAATTTTTTTAATTCGACATGCACTTTCATGAAAATCAAAGTTTTCTGTTTCTATTGATGAAAGAAACTTCATGTCATTTAAGATTTCATTTAAATAGTCGATTGAATAAGATGTTAACAAATATGTTAATGATGATGTTTCTTTGATTTCATTTGAATATAATATTAAAGCAAATAATATTAAAAACATATTTTTTATTATCAACATTTATTCTATTGCATAGCGCCTCAATTCAATTTCGCTTGTTTTTTGCTCTGCAATGTTTCAGTAAAGAAGATATTTTTTAAGCAAGGGAAAATATAAAATCTATAATATATTTCAGATTAAACTAATTAATTTTCATTTTCATGAAATAAATTTTATCAATTCTTTTCGAATGGTTCCTATAGTAAAAAAGCTTTTATCATATATTTAATTAGAAACTCAAATGAATAAAAAGAATATTTATTTTTTCTATACTAAATGTATTGTTGTTAGTATCTATTATATTAAGAATGAAAGATATTTTATTTAAACTTTAAATAAGAAAGACAAGGAAGATATTTTGATGTCAAAGATAATAATTAAGAGAGAGCCCATGAGGCCACCACGGATTGGAAGCACTCGATAAAAATTCTTTTTTTGATTTCATTAGTGCATTCGAAAGTTCCATGTGTGAAACTAGTAACCTGGGTGTGAGTGTGGAGTGGGTGTGGGTGTTTTACCGTAAAATAATCAATTATGTTAAGGTTACAATATATGGCTGTGATCAGATTTTCAACTTTTATCGTTTGAGATGATAATCCTTTAATTGGAAGAAAAACATTTTCTTACGAATTTTTTCATTATTCCTTTACTCCTCCTCAGGCACATATGGGGGTCAAAACTTTTTGTTCCTTTTTCGAAAGGGCTATCTCTGCTATTACCTTCAGGATGAAGTTCTAATTTCTCTGAGACTAAAATTTCCATGAACGAATGGCCAATAGATAGCATCCAGGATTGTTTTTCATCAGGATATTCACTAGTTGATAATCAATACTAGGCATTTTTCGGCCCCAGTATACCCTTTTTCTTGAATATGTTTCTGTGGTTTTGCGTAGAATCAAAAGTTCTACAAGCCTATGCAAAAAATACTTGGGCCCGCTTAAATTGAACAGATGAGATCAAATATACTGCAAAAAACTAGTCGGGAAAAATTGAAAAAAATTCTGTCAGTGCCCATACTTGTTGCACTGAATAGTCCGAAAAAGTAAGTGATATACAAAACATTAAATATCTATCCTTTTTCAGCTCAGAATGATCTATCGTTTAACATATTCATTTAAAGATTTGGATGATCTGTTGAAGCACAAACAGACATAAACGAAACGAACAATTTTCATTGTTTTTCTTTCTCGAAAAAATACGATAGTGCTCAAAGTCGTTCTTATGTAACTTTTCTTAGGAACGGTATTAGAAGCTAAAATTTTCAGGTTACTAGTTTCACACATGGAAGTTTCAAATGCACTAATAAAATCACAAAAATAATTTTTATCGAGTGCTTCGTATGCTGGGGGCATTCTCGATGCTCTCATGGACTGTCTCTTAAAGTTTTAAAATATTTCTCTGAAAGAAAAATATTTTTCCATGCTCAGTATTAAAAAAAACATATTTTAATTGAATTATTTAATTATACTGATAAAGGTGTTCAAATGTATCTAATAGAAATGTTATTCTATGTGACTTTCAATGTAAAACATTTACTGAAGCAGCCATTGAGCATTGACTTTAATGATGAATAGGCGCAGAACAAAAAATACAAACACTTTTTATTTTTTATTCTCTTTTTAGTTAAAAAGATCTGAAAAAGATAACGATGCTATATATGCACTTAGTCCGAATTGGTACCGAGATTGGGAGAATTTCGTTTGTGAAAAATCATCTGGTTAGATTTGAATTTTTTTTATTATAAATAAATTATTGTTTCATTAATAAAATCATTAGAACCACCTGGTCCAATATCAAATGCAGGTATTTCAACAACAAAAAATGGTATTACTCGTTTATTTCGACGTGGTAAAATTTTAATTTACTACTAAATAAATAAATAATTAATTAATTCTTATTAAGATTGTAAACATTTTCAAGTAAATGAATCAATATGGAACTTTTTATATTCAATTTATGGTGGTGGACCTCAGTTATTAATTCGATCAAATTCTGCTATGAATTTAAATTCGAATGTCGATGATCAAATATCTACGAGTAATAAACCTGCCGTGACTTTCGTTTAGAAAATGAAAGAAAAAAAATTCATTTTTTCGTTTCTTTTTTTTTGTATTATGTTCGATAAATGTTTTTGTTTATTTATTTCGTTCGTTCGTTTTCTTTCTTAGTTGCAATTCAACAGTTTTGTTTTAGACATTCAAACAAGAAAAAAACTGAGCAGAAGAAAAGAAATTAAAAAAAAGAATTGCGCAAATGTGCTAATCTCATTATTCGAGAAAAATCTTTATTCATCATTTTCTTTTTTTAAATTTTTATTCTTTATTTCTTTTAATTTTTTCAAGATTTCTTCTATTGAAAATAATATTTCTCAAATATTCTAAAATCTTCTTTTTCTTATAAATGAAGTAAGTTAAAAGTTTATTTGAGTTTTTTAATTTAAAATAAATTGATAAATAAACATGAATCTTTGTTCGTAAAAATATTTCTAGAACAAATACAAAATAAATTCATTTTTAATTTCATTCTGTAAAACCTATTTGTACTGATCAATTCAATTAAAATTCAAAAAAAAATATTAACTTAAGATACTAATAAATGACTAACTCTTTCTGATGCAACGATCTGCTGTAACGCATTGATTCAATTAGATGCTAAAAATTTCAAGTTTCTTGTATGAATATGTCAAAGATATTGAATTATAATTATTCTATTATTTTTTCCCATCTCTCAACTGTTTCTTTATTAATAATTAATTCATTGTTTTCTCCTTTTAATCGTTTTTATTCCGATTTCGGTTTCTTTTTTCTAAATAAAATTATTATTTATTGTTAATCTTGATTAACAATAAGATAAATCTCTTTTTAATAATTTACACGATATATTCTCAGTATCAATAAAATATGTACAAGATGTCTTGTTTATTGTTATACTGAAAAATAATTTCTTAGTCATTGAATGTTTTTCAATTTGAATTTTCAAATAGTTTCTATGAAATTATTTTCAATTAAAGAAAAAAAAATATCTAAGAATTTATGAACAAAGATTTATGAAAAATATCTATTGTTGAAACGGATAATGATGCATGTTTAATTATAAATTTATTTTTAGTTAAAAAGTAAAAACGAAAAAAGTGAATGTATTCATCGAGAAAATTCCGCGATGACTCATTTATAATTAGACTAAAATTCTTAAATAAATTATTTAGTGCACGTCAATTTCATGTATCGATATACATGAAATATATTATTTGTATATTAATACTATATTATTTAAATATGTTAATCGGTTTTAATTCGAATAAATGGTTTGAAAAATCGTTCGAAGATGAATATCATTTGAGAATGACAAATATTGATATAACAAAAATCGAAGAAAATGTGGAACAAGTTTTAGGTTATCCAAAAAATATTCTTTCAAATCAATTTTTAATTAAAAATCAATATTTATGTGGTCATACATTAAATCTTGAAACACTTATTTATCCACATTTAATTATTTTAGTTAAATCAAATAGTGAAAATTTTAAAGAAAGACAATCAATTAGAATGACATGGGCACAGAAATCTCATTTATCAAGTAAAAATATTCGATTAGCTTTTGTTTTAGGTAAGATACGTTTTGACTTTGCTTCCTGAATAAAAAAAAACCCTTTTCTGTTTCTCTACAAATTTTTCACTAGATACATAAATTCTATTTTCTAAGAAGTAAGTTTAATTGAATCTGCTTTATTCGATCATATTCATTGAAATTATAATAGTTAATTATGCATGTTATTCTATTCAATTGATTTATTTATTAAGAAAAAATTCTAAAAAAAAATATCTCTATTATTTTTTGTTGCAGGTACCAATCCACATAATATAAGTGTTATGGATGAATCCAACAAATATGAAGATATAATTCAAATAGATAAAATCGATTATTATTATTATAGTTCATGTAAGATTTTTAAAACTATTTAAAAAAAAACCATTTTCTTTTACTAAATATTTATTTTAAAGATAAAATGATAATGATGCTTCGTTGGATAAATGATTATTGTACGTCAAAATCACGTCGAACGTCTCATATCGATTTAGTAAATTATGTTTTGTTTGTTGATGATGACTATTATATAGATTTAGATTTATTATTATTATATATATATAATATTGATCATGATAGTGAAATGACAACTTATGAAAGACGAACATTTATTACTGGTGAATTAATTGAAAAATCTCGCCCACGACGAAATTTAAATGATCATTATTACGTATCACTTATTGATTATCCATATGATATTTATCCAGATTATATATCGAGTCAATGTTTTTTAATGACACGATACAATGCACGTTTATTCTATATTGGATCAAAATATACTCGTTTATTTCATTTCGATAGTATTTATATGGGGCTTTTAGCTTATTCAATGTCAATTAAATTAATTAAGAATAATGAACTTTTTTCAACAACTTTATCATCAATTAATATTTTTAATTATCAAAATCAATTTTTATCAAGATGGAAAACAATATTTAATAATAAAATTAATTTTAATTCAACAAAAAAATCAATTTGTACTCGAGGATATCGAAATGAAAAATTAATTCAATTATGGAATGAACTTCATCAAACTAATTTGACTTTTGCATTTTGAATCAAAAAGTATACTAATATTTATATATCTTCTTTTATAAATCTCTTTTTAGTATATCAGATTTGTTTTTATCTATATATATATTCTATTTAAAGATAATAAACTTTATTTAAGATAAAAAGGCGAATATTTAAAAACCCAAACGTCAACCTAACAATTTAGAACTCTTACAGATATTTATGAAATAAAATAAAATGAAAAAGAATTATTTTCTGTGTGGAATCATTGAAGGTACGTTTTATTTTAATGAGACATAATAATAAAATTTAGAATGGAAATTTTTTTTATTGACTGAAATCATATTTACTAGAATAATATCGAAAACTCAAACTGTCGTTTATTGAGCGAAAAAAAACCTTTTTACACAATTTATTAAATAATCAACAAGAAAAAAATAATATGACACAAATGAATTGAAATCAACGACGAATGACACAAATAAGTCTTTCTCTGTACTAAAGTAGATACAAAATATTTTATCTGAATTAACAAGTTTTCAGTATTGAATAGAATAGTTCCTGTTCATGATAAGATGACTGAGAAAAGACAATATTGAATTTATCGTGCACAAAGTATTAGAGAAATATTTTAACACTTTGACCCATAAATGATTTAATTCTGAAAGAGTCGAAATGAAATCTGATCATAATAATTAAAAATAGGCAATTTGAAAATAAAACAACATCGACTTTTTTTCTCAGATTATCAAACTTTTATTAATAATATTCTATTTATCTTGACTAAAAATAGATACTAATTAATTAACTTATTATCTATTTTAGGTTATTATGGTCGACCATGGTCACTTAATCAACGAAAAATACTTTTTGAAACGTTCGTATTGAGAAAAAAACGATCTGAGTAAATAAAGAATGCTTTTAAAAACAGATGTTTAAGATTTGGTTTAAACACATATGTCTATGCACCAAAAGATGATGCAAAACATCGATCTCGTTGGAGAGATCTATATACAAATGAAGAACTAAATGAACTAAGACAATTAATTCATATTGCTAAACAATGTGAAATCTATTTTATATATGCATTATCACCTGGTCTTGATATTTCATATTCATCTGAAAAAGATTTATTAGCACTTAAAAGAAAGTTTGATCAAGTACTTTTTTAGTTTTATTTATTTTAAATAAAGTTTTCTGTATATGTTTCTATTTATTTCCGTAGTTATCTAGTATTGGATGTGAACATTGGTCATTATTATTTGATGATATTGAAAATGAAATGTCTCAAGAAGATAAAAATAATTTTCCATCATTTGCTCATGCTCATGTTTCTCTTACTAATCAATTATATGAATATCTTAATAAACCAAATATTTTTCTATTTTGTCCAACAGGTTAATTATTCGAAAAAAAAACTAATAATCAAACAAATGAAATATATTTATCGTAGCATATATTTTTTAGTTTATTGTAGTCGAATGGCAGTACCATCACTTGACAAATCTTCTTATTTACAAACAATCGGTGATGGTCTACATCCAGATATTGACATTTTTTGGACAGGTAATTATCATTTAGTTTTATATGATCCACTCTTGATTGGACACATTATTAGACTCACAAGAAGAAAGTCGTTCCTAATTTTCTCTTTTTTCGTCCCATAAAGAGAAAAAATCGATCTGCAACTCGTTCCATTCTAAAGATGACTCCTATTAGTTATTACAAATGATGTATCTAACTAGTATGAAAGAAAGAGACATTTTGATACCATTTTTACTAGTGTGGTGGATCTAGTGAATGGAAAGAAGATGTGAAAAATAACGTGAGGTTTATTCATATATTCATTGTATGCTGTTGTTGCTACTATAACATGTTTGGATTGGCAACCAGTGAACGGAATAAGCAAATTCTAAATTATTTGGATTTTGAATACGCTTTTAAATGTATAAACAAAAACTGTCGAACAGAGGTGTAGAAACAGAAATTGCTGAAGTATATTAAGTTTATCAATTGGCAATTAATCCGTTTGACGTGAATCTATTACTCACAACCAATTATGTATAGCATCTCAAGCAACCAAAGCACTTGTTGAACAAGCTGGAAGTTATGAAGACAAGAGCAAGAGAAGACACTAAATCAATTTCCAAAATTGATGGTAACGAAATAGTTGCATTAAGGATGAGAAATCCTTATTTTATATCATGTTGTGATACTTGATAGAAAATAAATATTAGATAAATCAATAGAAGTTATCCTTAGAATGGGATGAGTTATAGATCGATCCTTTTCTCTTTATAGAACGAATGAAGAGAGAAAAATAGGTACCCCTTCTCGTGAGCCTAATAATGTGTCCAATCAAGGTGTCGCCATGTATCATAGTTTTATTTCTTTTGATTTTTACAAAATCAATCTTTAAAAAACTGTTTTAGGTCCAAAAGTCGTATCTCGACAGATAACAGTTTCTCATATATTATCAGTAAATAATTTATTAAAACGTTGTGTAACAATTTGGGATAATTTAAATGCAAATGATTATGATCAACGTCGTTTATGTATGGGACCATTTTCGGGTCGCTCATTAAATTTATCATCACACATATGTGGAATTTTGTCAAATCCAAATTGTGAATTTGAATTGAATTTTGTTCCATTAAATACTCTTGCTCAGTGGTTTCAATCAATAAAACTCAATGAAAAACATCGTCAATATGATAATGATGATGATAATGATAATAATGATATTTTTAGATTAGAAATTTATCAAGTTGATAAAGCATTTAATCAATCTCTTATTGATTGGTTACCAGAATTCAATAAAATAAAATCAGCTAATTATTCTCAAGAAATAATAAAAGTAAATACAAACAAAAGTTCTTTTTTTCTTCTTGCTCTTATTTAATACAGAACTAAAATAAAATTAAGATTGACAATTCTCCTGAAGAAATGAACCCAAAAGGTGCATCATCATCATCATTGTCATTAATAAATGATGAGGATTCTCAAGATTCAATCAATGAAAATCAAATGTATTCATCATCATCGAAAACTCATAAAATGGAATGTGATCAAAATTCGATTCATTATGATTTAACAATTGATGATATTCGTTTACTGGTTGAATTATTTTATTTACCTTATCAACACGGACCAAATGTACAACAAATATTTATGGAGTTTTATTGGCTTAGATGTAATTATAATCCTCATCAAAATGTAACTAAAACTACAATTATATAATATTGATTTTTTCCTCATTTAATAAAAGTAATATTTCTTTTTGTTTGTTAGTTAAATGAATGGCGTTGTCGTGCTCAATTGTTTCATAATAATGCAAAGAATATATCTCGTTTACTTGAAAAATTAATAAAAATTCATAATCGTGCATTACTTTATGATGTCTATAATTATATAAATGATATGAATTCAACGGTTATTCTTTGTTCAAAATATCTTCATTGGATCGGTAAAGATCGTTATTTTTTTAACTATTTTTTATAAATCATTTATTTACTTGTTTTTGAGATGATGATCACAAACGTTCACTAGTATTTATGTCAGGTGATATTGAACCGTGGTCAAAGCGAGGTGGTCTTGCAGGAGATTTTCTTGTTTGTCTATTTAAAATTCTTTAAAAAAAATATTTCCTTTGTTTTTCTTTTTTTCCTAATAGGATATTCTTCCGTTGGGTGATTTTCAATCATTAATTAAATCAGATTTGAATTCATTATCGAATACATTTATTATTCGGCCAATGACTTCAGATGATCAAGTTCGTAGAAAATTTGAAAAACAACATACTTTCTTTTTCTTTTAAATTTAATACTATTTAGTCATCAATTTATGATTTATGTTCAACTGTTTGTTATCAAGATGATCTTAGTCATCTTCTTAATCAATACTCACAAATTTTAGCTGACAAGTTCGTCTTATTATCTTTTTCTTTTAATAGGCATTAGAAAAAAGAAAGAACAAATTAAAACATTTTCGTCAATTATTATAGATAAAGATTTTGTCTTATTCGTCTCGAATTCACCTAGATATATTCATTGTTTTAAAACTAAGATTCCTTTTCTTCCGACTTCATTCGAAGTAATTTAAACTTATTGGAAGTATTTTTATTTCGAATTTTTAATTATAAGACTATATTTCTTGGATTTTGATAAAGAAATATTTTTTTGAAAAATGCTATACATCAAAGAGTTTTATTTGACTTTACGAAAAGAAATTTTGCAATTAATACAATCAAAAAGCAGCATATAGAAAAATCATATAATTGTTAGGTATTCTCGCAGGATTCTAATATTTCTATTGAAACAAAACACATTTCAAAGAAATAAAAACAGGCAAATTTACAACACAGTTTATATTATCTATCAAAAGAAATTTTGTATCTGGATGGAATCCAGTAGTCGATGAGAACGAAGAGTTAGAAAATAAGGTAGAAAATGTATCTATATAGTTGGACAATCGTCGATTAAATATCTCGTAGTAAAATAGAGAAGAAGGATCGAGCAATTTGAGTGAAATAATTAATTTAGTTCTCGCTATGAAAATCTATTCTAAGCAGTAAAAGGAAAACGTTTTTCTTTCTTTGTTTGTAAAGAATAATTGGTGGATATGTATCAAGTTCATTAAACAATAATAATCTTTGTTTTGTTATTGAAAACGATCAAGATAAGATATGCGGATTTTTATTAACAATCAATGAAAGTGAAAACTACGATAAATATATTCAAACAAAATGGATTGAACAACTTCATGAAAAATATCCAAATGTCGATCAAGTGAATAAATAAATATTTCCTTTTTTCTTAATTAGTTTATAGAACAAATCTTTCTTACTTTTGATTATTTAGAATTTTTTTGAATTAACCGAATGTCCTCAATGGATTTACGATCGATATTCTGTTCGTATACAAATTTTTATTGATTCAACAATGAATAAAAATAATATTTATTATCTTGGAGCCAAATTAATGAAAATTCTTATTAAAAATCTTTCTCAACAAGGTTTTTATTTTTCAATGACATAAATTATTTCTTATTTGTTTTTAAATAGGCTTCCGTGGATGCCATACTTTGGTAGATGAAAGATTTACTTTATTACATCAATTTTATTTAAATCTTGGTTTTATTGACATACCAATTATCGATCAGACTAATCAAAATATTCTTCTTGGAAAACAATTTTAATAATTTTTTTTTAATTGAAAAAAGATTTGTTTTCTTAATTATGATTGTGTCAATAAACAACAAAAGCTGATTGATTCAAGATCTATTTTTCACTTCAATTAAAAAACAACGAAAACTCATTTTTATTCAACTTGACATCGAAATCAAGGATATTTACTTTTCTTTAAAACTTTTTATTATATTAATTATCAATAATCACTATTTTTACTGCATGCTTATTAATCTTTCTTTAATTTAAAGATCATTTAGATATTAACAATTTCTAACAATAAAAAAAACATAAAACTTTCTTATCAATCAATTTGAGAATAGCACAGGGTGAAAGGAAAGATCACAAATGATTCTTTGCCGTTTGATCTTCTAAGCGTGAAAAGTAGTTTTTATTAATTCATATATGATTTATCACAAGTCAACTTAAACTCATTGTAGTTACACCACTAATAACTCCAGGGACGGCGCGAACGGGGGNGAGGGGGTTCCTCCCCCCCAACTTTGGAAACTTTTGTTTCAATTTTACTCCGATTTGAAGAAAATAGAAGAGATTTTTATTGATTTACTCCGATTTTTGAAAAAAAACCTCCCGTTTTCAATTAACCCCCCTATATTTTTGTTGCTTCGCGCCGTCCCTGAATAACTCGTACCAAAACAAGCTTTCGCTCAAATCTGTATTCATTCACACAAGTTATATTTTGTTGCAATCTCTAATAGAATAAAAGTCTTTTTGAAATCCTCTTCAATTAAAAGAATATTACATGTATCGGTTAGTCGGACGAGACTTACATTTTTTAGGAGACTTTCAATTGTTGTATTTTATTTTGAAATAGTAACTTCAATTCGAAGATTCGCAAAGCAAGTTTTCCTTGTTTAAAAAAGTATCCATTTTTGAAGTGAATATCTTATTTTTATTACTTAGAACTTAAAAAATTATATTATTCAAAGTACAATGAAATAAATATCCAATATCAGCAATATTTGATGTAAAAAATATGATCCTTGATAATGATAATAACTTTTGCAGAGAGAATTTCAGATTAATATTAATTATTGCATTTTCAGCAGCTTAAAGTAGCTGGTGAAACCAGTGATTCTAAATTCAGTATTTTCAAGTAAGAAAAAAAACTGAACACGGACTATATGACTAGTCTGGCATGTTTCCAATACGCATTAGATCTAATCTAAAGCGTCTTCTACAGTCGTCATGAGCAACTATCTTGGCAAAAACTACTTTGAAATCACATCTGTAGTGGTCTTGAATGTCCTTAAATCTTGCTGTGTCTAATCTTTTTTTGTTCATCTACTACATTGAGATTAGTTTGCAGAACAAATGATAAATTAATAAATGTAGTAAAAAGGTAAATTCAGCAATATAGCCCGATACTCGTCAGAACTTAACGAGTGTCCGCATCATAGATTACACCTTACCAATAGATTGGTACCAATTTCTACGATTCGACTAACAGAGAAACGCGTCCACTTGACACGAAATCGAATACTCATTGAAGATAATTGATTTGACCTGATTTTAACCGTGATTTTTCCAGAATCTACCGTTTGATAAAAAAATATTTTGCTCGCCAAATAACTGATGACAGTAAGTCATCACTCTGTTTAATATCATAAAAGTATTTGACACGATCAAAATTTGAATAATCTGATATTATGCTTACAATTGGAAGCAACATGATGTTCAAAAGCCCCTATTCGACGTATGATTAAATACTACATTCCAAGGAAGACTTGAACGTTTTAAAAAATTTCCATTATCAAAATGAAAAATACTCCAGTTAAGGTAGGGTTTAGTTATAGACATTCTTTGTAAGCATTTGAACAGAATCTATCATAAGAGATACATAGGTAATCAGTGATGAAACTACGGTACGTCAAATCGATATTCACTCCTGGTTCCAATAAAACGCTTATCAACAGCGTATGATTGCTCCGATCTAACTTATCTTTATCCTATTTACGTAGTAGTTACATTCAAAAAAAGGACATCAGCTATTGTTGACTCGATGAAAAATTTATTTAAAACCAAAAATGAGCACATCATTTAGTCATTTAACTAGACTTCAAATAGTCGTTTGAGAATAGCTACATTGTTTATGAAATGATTTCTTTCGTTGAATCTATTTTATAGTTTTATTTTCTAAATAGTATCTTGAGAATTATCAATATATTCAACAGCACATTTTTTCAGTCTCCATCTTTTTTTTCAAATGGACTAAAATTAAAATTTTTTAATGACAAAAGGAAGTTAACAAAAGAGTTTGACAAAATTTGTGATTTACATCAAACATTGTTTTGTGTAGGAACTTACGAAGAATTCCATCGAATTTAGATATCGAATAAATCTCATTGGACAAACACGAGAATGGAAATATGAAAATGATTATCTCATGAATAATATAATTTCAAAATGGCTCTTCTTTCAATCTTTTTTTCGAGTGCATTATTGAAATATATCGACGATAGAGAAAATTTCGCATTCTTTTTTCTTGTAACACGTTGAGATGAATATGACGAAAATGAATAATGGATGCCCATAAAAAATAAGAGTATCAATATCTTCTCTAGTTGCTTTAACTGATTCGAGCTGAAGCTTTCTTCAATTGATATAGCGTTTGATTATCTACTAAGTCATAAACAAATAATTTCCGTAGAACTGAAAACAAACACATTACTACCGTAGTATTATGTACATGCAAATTTTACAGCTTTGAAAATTACTTTCAACGGATACATCAGAATAAATAATCTTCTCAATATCTCTCTCGGCGTTCATAGTCTTTAATAAAAATTATATTCACACAATTCAGCGTTTTAATCGCTATCAATTCATAGAAAAATGATTATTATAGACATAAAAAAACCACTGTAATCACTCATGTGACACTGCGATCATGCAATACAAACGTAGAATAGGAACGCTTCCATTTTTCTTTTGGGTCACCCGTCAATTTGATAAACTTTAATACGTAAATAATAATTGATTTATTTTACTAAAAGAACTTCGAATGATAATTTTCTTTTGAATATGATAATAACATAAGTTGTGTAATAGAAAAAAGATGACTTTTATCAATCAATGGTATTCGTAAACATGAAAAATGAAATCTTCAGAGAAATTCTAAAACTGTTTTACAACGAATAATAATTTGAGACAATTGCTTCTCACTATAATTACTTTCGTGCTAACAGATTTTTCCACTTAATAAAAATCTAAAAATAGTTTCGTTACGATTTTATTTTTCTCGTTTGCATGAAGAACTGAAATCATTTCTCTACTAAATTATTTCTAAATTAAAATATCATAATAGCAATGCCGACGAATTTGAAAGATTCGAAATTGTTGTTCAAAACAATTCTGAACTGAAAAGAATCTGGTTAAAGTCAAGAGGTTAATCCCATCTATTTATGTTCATAGAACAAATAATGAAAAACAAAATTCTAAAATGAAACAATGATCGTGATTAAATACAACGAAAATGAAAAACACATAAGTTTTTAGTTGATTGTCTTATGATTGATGTTGAAAGTGTTCAATTAACTTAAGATAAAGTTCATCAGTTTTCTTTTGATTTTCATCAAATTTTTCAGTTAATTGATTTAATTTTTTTCGAATTTCATATAAAACTGATGACGATAACTCTTCTTGTACTAATTTTTTTTCTTCAACTTTAAAATCAACATTTAACTAAAACAAAATAAAAATAAAAATAAAAATCAATAAATTAACATATAAGTTTTTTAAACTTGTTTTAAATCTTGAAAATTCGATTGATTAAATTTATCTTTTAAATGAGTCTTCATTTTTCTATCTTCTGTTAAAATAACTGATGTATAATCAACAAAAGCTTGTATTGTATAATGTGTATTATGAATTTTAATAACTTTTATTTTAATCCAATGTGAATCAGTTCTATACCAAAACCGTCGAAATTCATCATGAGAAAGATATTGTTGAAATCTAACACGAATAGCAAGCCATGGTAAACATGATACAGACGATGGACAAGCTAATAATTTTGAACAATCAATATCACATTCATTTCCATAATCAACAAAAACAATTCGACAGATTTCACCTTCAAATATGTTTCTGTTAACTATAATTTATTTAATAAAAAACAAAAAGATAAACCTTGAATTGATCTGATCCATGCTCGATAATATCCAACACCACCATCTTCATTTTTGTTTTTTTCATTTTTCCATGGAGCTATTACCATCCTAAATTGATAGATTTTATATTTTGATTCCTATGAAGAATATATTTGACATTAAAAAATGTGTTATTATCCATAAAGTCGTCATCAATTTATTAATATTAATCTTTTTATTTTATCTCATCTTAGTCTTACAAATTCCAACACATAATTATTTTCAAAATGATTTTGTCAATTTCTTCGTTTCCGTATTTAAATCATCAAAATAAAATATTCTTATAAAAAAACGATCAACTATTATTTCTTCATGCTTTTATATTTACTCAATAGTGTAAATTTTCGAAAAATCTTTTTATTTTAATATTTTAGTAAAATATATGAATCATCTCGTAAACTTGTTAATATTAAGAATTCTTTTATTTTGCGTATGCCTAATTTTCCTCTTGGATGTTTTACTTGTTATATAAGAGATATTTGACTTTTAAATAGATAGAATAATATAGAAATATTAATAGAATTTACATTCTAGGTTTAACACAAAGTGGATGAATTGAACGTGGTTCTTTAACATTATATTGATGATAATCAATAGTTGCTAATGCTTTATCAACATCATTTGATGTTTTATCAGACATAAGAATATAAAAATCATTATTTTGATTATCATCACCACGATATGATGCTAATACTGACCAATATTCATCACCTATATTTAATATTGTTTGGTGACGAAATTCATCTTCTAAATATTCTTCTTTTCTCATATTAAAATTCTAAATAAACATGAAAAAAAGAATTTTATCTTTTACTTCACTTTAAATAACCTAACTTGAT